TTCGTTTGAGGTTACGGTTTGGAATTCCAATATTTTAGGCTGTTGTACATTAAGATCAATGTCACTATCGTTATCAAAAACACTTAACGAGGGTGTACCTGCATCACTTGCAGTATTTCTTTTTGGTGGTGGAGAGAATTCTTGATCAGATTTTTGAAAGTGTTTTTCATCCAATATGTCCTTTGTCGAGTAATACGTCTCTTCTATAATTATGCCGTTTCCTTCGATTACAGCCTTTTTTTGATGAGTTCTTGCCAGTCTTAAAGTTTCTACTAGGATTTTTCTGTCTTCCTTATCCTCTTCTATTAGATCTTCACTTATTGCAATACCAGTTCCTTTTAGTTTCCTTGCACTTCGGAAAACTTCTTGTTTTTTTCAGGGTTGTTACGAGAGAAAGAAAAACTGGACGATTGTGCTCTTTATTTTTTCCTACTCTATAGATATTGTTGATCTCAAGTGGGGTAAGTAAATCTAAGAGCAGGTCCTACCATGAGCGCGTAGCGCAATAGTCCTCAAAAACAGATGCGATTTGCAGTTTTGTCGAATCTAAGCGTAGCGCGCGCGATTTGAGGCGTTTCTATCGCTCTCCAGGACCGTACCTGTTTATAATTTTTAATTATTTTTATTTTAAATCTCTTGGAAAAATGAAATCTGCGAATCGATCTCAAATTATGCGAACTACCGCCCCTACAAATTTGGACGCCAAGTTCGGAAACACCCTGTATAATATAATAATACTGAAAAAATGTCTTCTTCTTCTTCTTCTTCTTCTTCTTCTTCTTCTTCTTCTTCTTCTTCTTCTTCTTCTTCTTCTTCTTCTTCTTCTTCTTCTTCTTCTTCTTCTTCTTCTTCTTCGAAAGAATTATTAATAAAATATTCTAAATTAACATGTAAAAGTAAGAAATTACATTGAATAGTAAATACCAACAATGCGAGACTAGCCTCATAGTACATGTCCATTCGTTGAGTATGTAACAAGTGATCATCGGTGTCTCCATCTATGAACGCGGGACGGAGCCACCCTGGACTGTTGAAGTTGGGTCTGCGGCAGCTAAAGGCCCTTTGACTTTTACCATACTTTTACCCAATACAGTTACTTACCCTTCATAAGGCCATCAACAAGCAACAATGTGCTGGGCCACTATTGAAAGGCCAAAAGTAGGCTTTTATCTTTTAATCGTCGCATTCATTTTCCCTTCAATTACAGCAAAACCAGCAATATCCCGGCAATTTATTGTTTGTTGGGAACCTTTTCATTAATATTTGAGAATATTTATTTGTATTTTTATATGTATGTTCAACGTAATACACGTCTTTTCTACGTTTATTTGTTTTATTAAAACATTCTTAAAACACTTGTATTAGTTTATTTTATTATTTATTATTTATTTTTTCAAATTGTAAAAATATGTTATATTGTCATTGTGTATGACTGATTATAATTTCAAAACGATCATAATGCATTATTTAATGCTGAGTTTTTTTCTGCACTAACATAGGTACCTAAAATCAGTAAACAAGTAAATTTATAAAAATTGAAGAACTTTATTTTCGACTTATAAAACTTTTAACACAAATAAAGCTTTTGCTTATCCATTCCTGGTTAACAAAAATAAAGTTCTACATTTACAGATACGGAAATTTAAACACCGACTATCTCAGCCAAATCTATTAGAGACGAGCGTAAGTGGGAGTCGTACGTATCGTGCACCAGACCATTATAATGCGCTAGTTCAGTGTGATGTCATTTTGGTTACACTGACATTTAATTCTAACCAAACTTTTAACATAAACATCAATAAATTTGACGTATACGTTTTTAGTTTATTTCTAAATATTGTTTACAGGTCATAAAAAATTGTTTAAAGGTATGTAATTGGTATCTAAACGATTTAATATTTGATCCATGTTATCTACTTACTTTAGGAATATATTTATAAAAGTGAACAAACGGTATAATTTAGGTAAACAAAACGAACAAAATGCACTCAAAAAATCTACTGTCACTTTGTCAGTGGAACCATAAATACATCATCACTGAACCAGCGCATAGGTAATCGTGCTGCTCAGCGGTCTCTGTTTCACTCGTCTTTGTCCAATTCATTGTAAAATAGTGTCGCCATTTAGATTTTCTTATAACAAAGTCATACATTATACATGATGGCTTTAGTCATTCTTGGCAGCATTGCATTTGTTGGAGCAAAATGAACACATCTTTGGTTAAAGTTAAAGTACATTTTCTGCTAATTAAACTTATTACCGTTTTTCGGCACGTACCTATTACCGTATATGTATTAACCGTAAGGTTGACAACACTGCCTCCCGGTGTTCTTTGACACGCTTACTGTTTAAACAACAATGAAATAATGAAACTAAAAGGAAGCTTTTATTATTTCCATTCAAGGGAGTCCTTTTTTTATTAAATACGAAATTCCTTTCAACACCACATTTTGAATTTTTAAAAACCTATTTAGGATAATCTTACTTTTATACTCAGTTTTAGCAGAAATTTGTCGACTTTTAAAAATATTTTTTTAACTGCTCACCCTGAATGTAACTGACCAGAAGTGTAACTGGTTTTGGGCCAGTATAAGGAGCCTTTAAAGCATACAAAATATGAAGTGTTTCTCTAAAGCCCTTTTTGAGCTATCGCGCGAACAGTCCGACGGAATGGGAAATAGCTAGTAGTTTGGGCAACAGGAATGGATATGGACAATCCACTCGAGTATATTCTTTCTACGACCCACTAACGAAAATCTACAAATTTTAAAAATTATTTTAGAAGATAGAATAACTAATTTAAAAATAATTTATGACTTTTACTAATTTATAAAAAAAGATTTGATTTATTCTAATTTGTCCCCATCTTAGATTTGAAGAATAATGGTAGTTGGGTGATCAAATATGAACTGGGATTGGTGGATGAAATTTTTTTGCAGTGTTCTTACTACCTAGAATGGATATGAAATGTATTCGTTCAGTTGAACGCAATAGCATACTTTTTTGTTTGTAGTCCATGCGTAGTTAAGCTAATATCCATGTGGGTGTAGAAAAATAAATTTTTCGTAATCTGGGATCCTGAAACGTGAAGATCTAAAATAAGCTCGGAGGGTGACTTTCACGATTACAATACTGTCCTCTTATCGAGGGAAGTAAAAACTAAACACAAACTTGGACAAATGACCTCACTAGAAGTGTTTTTGTCCTGAAACACTCTTGTTGTTTTTGCCAAGCGTCCACCATTATTTAAAGTCACGTAATTTGGATTGCCTAATTATTAGGACCTCTAATTATTGCCTTGCCCACATAGCACACGGACGTCTTATGGATATCTAAAATCAGGCGTCCAATGGACGTTATGTCCCGTTTCCGTCCACCTTTGGGACATCCCAAAAGGACGTCATAAAGACCTTTATACGGGACGTAAATCAGACGTCCGAGGGACGATATTTGATCATATTCCACAAGCTAGAGTTAAACGTTTTCAGTTTACAAAAAAAAACGAATGAATTAAATTTAACACACAATGCTGGTAAGATGAAACCTTAGGTCCTGCTTATAGCTTGTGTCGACATAACTGAGTTTTATAATTTTGTTAATATTAGGTATGTTCCAACTTTCCGCCATTGAGATCTTTTCTTTCCGCCAGTGCTACCGCCATTACATATTATCAATTATTACCTTAACGCAAAACACTTTACTCCACTTTATAACCACTTTACCATTATAATAAAAAAATAACAAATAACACTATGGGTGCCTGTGGTAGAGTCTCTGCCTATGGATCCAAGAGTCACATGTTCGAATCATACCGTTGGCCGGGATTTTTTTAAATTTAATTATTTAAAATTAATTCTGATGCCTTGCATGGTAGGATTCCTCACTCGACCATTCGTTGGGTTCTAATTAAGTGCTGTTCCTAATGTGGCGCTGGGAAACAGTAACAAAGCCTACACAGAACACGAGGCTAATGGCCTTAGTAGTCGATGCCGATGACACCAAATTAAAAAAAAACACTATAGGTTCTTTCGTTCGTCCCGCACTGGTGTAGAAATGAACTACACCAACATACACTGTACCTTTCGTTTGGCCCGGTGTAAAATCCACTACACCTTCCTATCGGCGATGTGGTGTCCACTAGTTTTTCCACCAGCTATTTAGCAGGAGTGAATTACACTCGACATGTAAGGATGAGGAAGTAAACTAGGTAAATAAGGTGATATTATTTACACTAGTGGACACGGCACCAACAGCGAACGAAAAAACCTTATATAACCTTCTTTTCTTCTTCGTTAATCTAACTCACTTATATAAATTAATTATTTAATGTCGAAAATTCTACCTGTTGTTGTTCATTTGAAATTAAAGGTTATGTTTTCTGTCCTTCTCCTTCTCTTGCAAAACAAAACGTTGAATTTCAAGTCATTGATTCAAAGACCAAAGATACCAGTACATAAGAAGTCCCATTAGCTTCTTGGCTGGGCTCTGACCGAAGACTGAACGGGACCAAAATAGGTCGTCCTAGTTTTCACGATAATCGGAAATACAGACAAAATTAAAATCATACAAAAACCTACAACTATTCCATTATCGCCTTTGCAAGCTAGCCATAATTGACTTATAATGTTGTAAATTCAATAAGGAGAAGTCATCACATTAAAATATTAAATAATAACCGCTATCTATACGACCACAACATCGGTCATGGTCACATAGTGGGCCATTCAAGAAGAGAACACTTCACAAGAAGACCTTTTGAGAAGAAATCCTTCTAATATAATAAATAGTATGTTATTATAACAAAAATTGTACATATTGTAAATAAAAGACTTTTGAAATTGAAAAATTGATAATCGGAAGTCCAGTGGACGTCCGATTTGGGTCCCGGATCAACAAGGAACCAAATCGGGACGGCTATTGGACGTTCTGTGCTATCTGGGTAGTAGCATATTACCAACTTTGAACGTCATATCAATCTTTTAATAAACTTACCGATGATAAATGAAATCAACAAAAAAAGCACATTTTTATTGAAACCTTCACAATATTCTTTCAGAAATTATTAATGGGATGACTTGGGATCTTTAGCGACTACAGCTAAATAACAAAACGCACCGCACCTAGGTACAGGTTGAGCAGCCAAAAATGCCCCTCCATCGGGAGAGTTTTCATATAACATTGGTTTCATTGTAGGCTGTCTTGATTCCTCTGTATCTTCCATATCAGCCGTACCCCCAGGCTAAAATAAATTAAATAAAATTGTTATAAATATACGTAATTACAATAAAAAAAATCTAGAATTATTAATTATATTATAAAATACAATTATCATTAATTTAATTTATTGTGTCTTATATATAGGTACCCAGTGACCCGGTACGGATTCTAGTAAAACTAAAAATTTTGGGGCCGATTTAGTTTCGGTTCTTTTAAAAATATTTCGGTTCGGTTTTGACCAAATTTTTCGGTCCAACGGTTCTTTTCGGTACAAAATTTCCAAACCTTTAAAATTACTTATAAAGTCGAGCAAACACTCCAAATATAAAATTTTGAATAATAAAAAGGTAGTATAATTTAGTTTATCGCCAACCGTCAATAGAGCCTTACGTTACCATACCGATTTGCGGAAGTAAACACTTTATTTCACTGTAAAATCAAATATTTTATCTGCCGCTGATATTTATCAGTAGCCATAGCCGTCTGACAGAAATAGTATGTAACTGATTTGTTTTGTAGTTGCTGTTATTTTTCTGTTTGTCTACTTTGTCATTCTAAAATGTGATGTTATAATATCTTCTTTTTTATTAATTATAATTATTTACGGTCGGCGATAAAAGTTTGTATGGACCACGTCAGCAAAGTATCTTTATCGAATACGCCTGTTACTCGCATAGCTTGCTTATCTCGCTCGGCTCATAATCTCAGACTGGTTCGATAAAGAATCGCTTTGCTGACTTGGTACATAAACTATTAAAAATATCGGATAAACGTTGAATTAATTTACAGAAATTATAATTTTCATTTTTTTCCGATATTTTGGATCTCCCTGTAGATATCAAAGGTTTTTTGGCACTATTTTAATAAGCACAAAACTGCGCAACTTTTGTCTAATTTAACTTTCTGTTACCGTTTAAGAAATAACAATACTGTTCCTATGAAATATGTTCATTATTTGTAATTTTAAAAATAATGAAAATATCTTTATTTATTTAGAAAATACATTTTACAAAACTAGAAAAGTGGTCCTATGAGCTAGCAAGATTAACCCTATTTTGCTTGTATTGGAATGAATAGTAAATCGCAGTCACACATACAGGAATAGAAACGAAACGAAATGTTGCAATTCACAGGGAGTCATGGGTCGATAGTAGCTATACCACATCCTTTCCTATCCTGTAATAATTGTGAATGCTATTTAGTATTCACAATGCCACAAATAAAAATCTGACCAAAAAAAACGTAACAATATTACGAACAACGGAACCGAAATCGAGTTCCGGTTCGGTTCTAAAAATTTAATTCTGGATAAAATAATTTTGAATAGGTAAAATAATGGTTCAGTTTCGGTTCCGGTCCAATAAAGAATTTCGGTTTCGGTCCGGTTTTTTGTATTTAAAATATTAGTATATTTCCACACTCACACTGTAAATAAATTGCGTACTTCAAAAATATAATAACTGACACTAAGAATGCAAATATACTTCCTAAATTTCATTTTTAAATGAAGCTGAAACTAGCAGCCAGAGTTAGAAGCCTGTTTGAGAAAATGCATACAAGTTAGATATTACAAAATAAAGCAATTTTACTGTTTAATTTGTCTTTTATAATAATATTAGTAATAATAACAATAATAATGATAATAACAAAGGGGGGCTATCCGTATTTGGAAAAATAAATAGTACAAATGAAATAATAAAGAAAAACTTTAAATGTATATTCAATTTTTTTTAACGAAAAATTATCTGCGCTGGGTTAAATCATACATAAATAGATTCCTCAAGTAATAGTCTGCAAGAACACGTCAATCGAAAATACAGTATTGAGTGCTGGATTGTTGAAATTATTATATTTGTGTGCTAGAGTAATACTTAACACAACAAACATATTGTTTTTTTAATGAAAAATAACCGGCGCTGGATTTTATCATACATAAATGGAATCCTCAAGCAATATGCTGTAAGAATAAGTTAATCAAAACTACAATATCCAGTGCTAGAACGTTGAAAATATAAAAAAATATTTAGGCTCGAGAGACATTTCCAATAAAAATGTGATTTTTCTTTGAGAAAACTTAACAGCGCTGGGTTTTATTATACATAAATAGAATCTTTAAGCAATATGCTATAAGAATGAGGAATCTATTTAGGTATGTATGATTTAACCCAGCGCCGATAATTTTTCGTTAAAAAAAATATTGAATATACATTTAAAGTTTTATTTTTAAAGTACTTCTATTCATTTCATTTGTACTATTTATTTTTCCAAATACGGATAACCTTTCTTTATTATTATCATTATTATTGTTATTATTACTAATATTATTTATAATAAGACAAATTAAGTAGTAAAATTGCTTTATTTTGTGATATCTAACTTGCATTATGCATTTTCTCACACAGGCTGCTAACTCTGGCTGCTAGTTTCAGCTTCATATTTTTAAAGTCTTTTATGCGTTTTAGGGCTTCGTGACAAAACAGCGCAGGACAAAATGGCACAAAACACAATAGCGCAGATAAAACAACGCAAGACAAAATAGCGAAGTAAATAAAAGCGGGTGACAAAATATTCCAAAATTCTAATTAAAATTAAAAAACTAACTACTTTAACTAACTTGGGAGGCATAGAACCCTAGAGAATTTCTTTGAAAAAAAAAATATTTACACAAAATGGGAAAAATAAAAAAAACTTAACTCGCGGGTTGTTCCTCAGAAAAATTAAACATAAAGTGCGTTATTTTGTTATTTTTATGGGGTTTGTAAAGTTGTACATAACTGTAAAATATCAAATTATTATATTACAAGAAAAATAAAATTAGAAAATGTCATGTCTTAAGACGTATATTATCATTTTATGAAAAAACCAGTAATATAGGTATTAAACAAAAAGATGGTATTGCTGTGGTTTTTATCAAATCAACAACTGTTTTGAAGTTTAAAAATACATATATCGATTATTAACAAAGTCAGTTCTTTTGGAAAAATCGTTCAATATGGTCTATTTAACTGAAAACCTCTAAATGGAAATTTTACAAATGATATGGAGATAGAGCAAGAACACAAACGAAAGTTACGCATCTATTCAGAGAAAAATGTTCCGACCTGCTACCCATATCGCAAAGTTGTAAAGTAAAATAGAAAGACAATTTAGGAAAAACGGGCATGAACTAGTACTCATCGACAAACGGTCCTTAGTGAAGATATCAAAATGAATGTACTACTATCTGTTCAAGAAAATCCTAATATCTCTACCAGTTATCTAATTAGGTTGAAATTTGCCATTCGTCAGTAGCACGAATTCTTAAAGCAATAAAATGCATCCTTACAATCCTTCATCAGCAATTACTGGAAGATGATCCTGATAGAAGACTGCAAGTATTGTGAACAAATTATGGATAAACTAGACTCCAACAACATTCTACTAGAGACCATTGTGTTTTTTGATGAATCTACGTTTATGTTAAATGGTGAGGTAAATCGACGGGCGGATGAGAATCCACGCTGGATGAGGGAAGGCCAAACTCAACGTCTGGAAAAAATGAATGTTTGGGCAGGGATTGTAGGAAATCAAGTTGTAGGACTAATATTCTTTGCCGAAACTCTCATAGGAGTATGATATTCATGGGCATCGTTACAGAGGTGGGGCCAAATTTTAAAAAAATTTAGAATGTTTATTTGTTGAAGAACAAAGAAAATGAAAAATAAAAGAGCAATACAAATAACAAAAGTTTCTAATAAATAAAACAACCCAACAAAAAAGACAAAAACTAAAATAAAAAAAAAAACAAGAAACTTATTAAAACACATTTTTAAAAAACAAACAGAAGGTGTGATATAAAAGAAAAATATGAACAAGAAGACAGAGCCATACATAATATAAAAAAATAAAATATTTATAGAAACACAAAAACAAAAAAAAACTCAAACACGTCGAAGAACACTAGGAAAACGCAATTTTTTAATTTCTTCTTCCTCTACCTAAAATAATCGATAACGGAAAACATGATTTCGTTTTAGTTTTTTTTTGCGATTATTTTTCGCCAACAAATTTATGAACTAACGGACGATATTTGCGTATACTGACAATACAATTTTTAATGGAATTCCTAATTAAAAAATATATTTGATTTTAATAAAAGTATATAGATTTGTAAAACAAGTGAAAAAATTTATTATTATTATTATATATTCTTATTAGGCTTGTTTTGGTTCTTTCACGAACTAATTCAGAATCAGTGAATTACACTCGTTAAGCTCAATAGGCTGGTTATTATCGCGATGTATTCTTGAAAAATGAATTCGTCAACTGTATTTCAGAACTGGAATTGGCGGTTCTGTTTGAACCAAAACAAACCCATTACTTCAGCTAAAAAAAAGTAGTATAATCAATAAAAATCAATAATAAAACATAGGTAGGCAACAATATTTATGAGAAAATGTATGATATGTTGCATAAGCCCAATAAGTTGTCATTGAAGAAAAGATTAAATAATGTGAAAATAAAAACATTATCATTATATAATAACGTAGTATCAAAACGTATTAAAAAAATAATAAATTTGCGATTGTAATTTATATTTTCTTTATTTTTATTTCGAAAGAACCCATAGAAATTAATGATTAAAATTGGTTTCCTATCAATAAGTCACAAGATTGCATTTCAGCCACATACAATATTCAAAGGCAGAAATCTAATCCTTGCTGAACATGTTTTTTCTGCTAGTATTTTTACAATTTACAAAACAGCAACTGCTATTGCTTTTTGTTTTGTTTTTACCTACTTAAAAAAAAGTAAAATGTATAGGTACGTGTAAGATATGGATATGGAATAAATATATTCAACCTATAATATTCGTCAACTGTATTAGACTGAATATTATTTCTATGAGATTGTTGTACGTAGTTAGTGACATTTAGATTTCTATACCTGTCATGTTTACCTATTTCATCTATTTCCTTAAACAATTCAATTTAAAGGCTACCTAACATATTATGCCTTGAGTTTATTGTTATGCGTGCACGGCGACAATCGACAATATGAGCCAGTGTCAGTTGTGTAATTGTGTTAGTTACGTAATTTTACCTCATACAGCGTTGTCAAACTGTGGCACATAGTACCTACCTAACGAAATATCAGTAATTCATATATTATAAGGTTGTACGTTACGATACTAATTTAGAACTAAATTAATGCATTTTTTGAGTACTAAAAAAATTCACGATGCAAACAGCAAATTTAATATTAAATTTAGTACTAAAAATGCGTTTAAATGTTGCGCAGAAGTTTTTCACAGAAAAAGTTGACACAACGATATTTTCTGCACCATTTTGTTTTTGGTTAGCGACAACTTTGCGTTATCGCCTTGGACAAATTTGGCTTGTGTTTGATTTTGTAGGTTTTAATGTATTTTTTTCGTGGTTTTTAGTAGCATTGCTGCATTTTGTTGTTGTCAAGTCAACTAGTGTCAAAGTCCAAAGTCATAATAAAAAAATCTTTTAATTCACTTGTCTTATTTACACAGAATATTTCATTTCAACGTAATAATACGTGGGTCTATGTACTTATTAATTTAGTACTAAAAATTGGTATCGTTGCATATGGAAAAAAATATGTTTAGTTCTAAATTTATAATAACTTAATTTAGGGCTAAATTTTAGTACCTAATTTAGTATTGTGACATACAGCCATTACGCGTTGTAAAATAGTAAAAGCCAGGGGGCAACTGCCCCCCTTGCCGCCCCCCCCCCCCAACGACGCCCCTGACGATATTTATAATTCTTGCAAGAAGAATTAGTGTCGCAATTTGCTAATTTGTACTTGCTAATGTCCCGAATAGACATTTGGTTTCAACAAGATCGTGCGCCTCCCCATTTCGCAAGACCTATTCGCGAGTATCTCGATGCTGTATTTCTAGGCAGGTGGATAGGTAGGATACCTATTGAATGGCCGCCGAGATCCCCTGATCTCAATCCTTTGGACTTTTTTATGGGGGTACTTGAAAAGCAAAGTTTTAAGACCAAACCAGCAAATGTTGAGAAGCTAAAAACATGAATAAGAAATGAGTGTAGATTAATTTCGCTCCAAGTCATTAGAAATGTTCAAAACGAATTTCGATCGCGTTTAGGATAATGTCAATGGACAACATTATGAGCATTTGCCTGATTAAAATAATTAAATTCAATGGAGTTGATTACTTGTTTTTCATAAATTTGTTACTTTTTACAATCTTGTAATTGGTAAGGAATAAAAATTTGATATTTTGCATTTATGTACAACTTTACAAACCCTATAAAAATAGGCATTAAAATGACAGTGTTGCCATTTAAAAAAATCAGCGATGACGTAATATCTCTAGATTGGGGGACACACTGCATACATTAAATCGAGATTGGAAATACTAATCGACGGGTCCGAGCATTTTGCAAAAAAAAACATTAGTATTTGAACTATTGAATTTATTTAAAATTACAGACTCTCTCTGTATATATAGATGTATGCATGATCCTACGCGTATTAAATTATACTCTAAGAAAAAACAAATTTAATCAAGAAATTATTGTCAATAATAAATATAAATACGATGTAAATATCGACATAATGCACGACCCGTTTTCCTGGGTTGCAAATGAGACTGCTGTCCTGTCCACAGAACACATAGTCCTGTCCTGTCCGTGTCTCACTGCCTCGCGTGGCTGAAATTGACTCCTCACGTCCTCACCTCAAGTCGAGTTTACTCGAATTAGCCTTAAATTGGCGAGCGTGATGGTTGAGTCTCATTTCTTATTCACAACCTAGGAAAAAAGTTATGCAAGTCGCGCCAAAAGAAGTTTTCACTTCAAAAATTACACAAAACACTGTTATATTTTTTGCTTACTAAAAGGTGGGCAATAGATGGTAAAGCGCTTGGCGGAGGGTTTTCTGTAAAAGGAGCTTGCAACTGTCCTTGTTGTATATTAACCACCAGATAATACATAAAATCATTACGTAATTTCATTTCTTCTATAGATCTATTACAGTTTGTTAATTTTTTCATCCATTTGACTGCCTTTTGTCTATCTGAAAAATCGGATGTGAGATAAAAATTACACAATAAAATACTTTTACCTTCATTTGTGGGTAAGTTGGATAGCATAATTTTAGCAAGGAACATGTTATAATTGCAGTCATAGTTCAAATTTTCTGCTGCCTCCCCCATTTTTCTTAGTTGTTGAAAGTTTTACAAGAATTTTTTTAAGTATATTTGACATCTTTCAAGAATCTATTATGCCAAAAAATAAACGTTTTAAAAATATTTCATATCCTTTTATTTTAAATAATTACGGCTCAAGGTTGATTGGTTCAAAAAACGAAAAAGCGGAACGTACCTATTAATTAACGAACTCGATATAGTAGTTTGAAGTTGACAGGCAGTTTGTCCAACATTTGAACATTTCTTCTAGATCCCTACAAATATCACTAGTTTGAAGTGCAATGCATTGTCAAAGTGTACAATGAAAGTGCTCTTGAAATTAGTTTAAACTAAAAGAAATCGATACTTTTTTCATATATATCTTTATTATATTAAAATAAATCGTTACGTTAATTTTTAGGTAATAAACTATTAAAATTTTGATTACCAAATTAGCACGTTTTCAGAAAGGTTAAACGAGCCTTGACATGTCTAATTAGCATAAAGATCATCAAAATATTAAATCACAATGAACAAAAAGAAGCACCAAAACGATCCCAGCGGTGATAATTCATCAGAATCGGCTGATGAGAACCAAAATAATGTTGAGTGTGTTCACATCAACAAGGCTGTTGATTTATCAAAGGTGAGAAAAGTCCTTACTCGTACTGGATTTTTAACAGATTGCGATGAATGTAAAAAACTGCCACCTTCCAATGATATGGGGGATATCGAATTCGACAATACCCTATGGTTGTGTTTGAAATGTGGGAACCAAGCATGCGGCAGGGGCCGAAATATGCATGCTCTCAAACATTTTAACACTCCTCATTCAGATTCTCATGCGATGTGTGTAAATACGACTATTTGGAGTGTTTGGTGCTACGATTGTGATGAGGAAATTAATTTAACTGCTAAGAAAAAACTAACTGATGCTGTGGAAACTTTAAGAAAACAGGCTGAGTCAAATAAGATTAAACAAACACCAAGTATACCTCAATTAGCAGATAGAGTAAGTCAGTCATTATCTTTACAAATAATGTTTTTAGAATATTAAAAAGCCCCATTTTCAATATATTAAAATTGAAGTCACAATTTTAAATTAAAATATGTCTGAATAAGAAAAATAGATGTTATTTTTTCTACTAGTTTTATTATTAATATCACGTTTCATTTTTTTTAGGTCTTAGATGTAATTTCAACACTGCCACTGACTAATACAGGAGCTACCCCAAAAATGCAGAATTCTGTAAATTCCCTATTCCCAAGGGCTAGAGGTTTAACAAATTTAGGAAATACCTGTTTTTTCAATTCAGTAATGCAATGTCTAGGACAGACACCATATTTACTTAAATTATTAGAAGAAACCTCATTAGAAGATCAATATTTTAAACTACCTGGTGGAAAGTTGACTCTAGAAAATAAAGAAACTATTGAGTTAGAACCTTTAGATGGTATGTTTTTATAATTAATTCAATTTACTCTCCATCCATTATTTTCTCTTGGAAAGGAGGACTATTATCTTAAAATACTTTTATAATATTTTGTCCAATTGGCATGCATATAAAAAGAAATGTTTTCTTTTTTTTACCAACAGCACTTTAACCCAGATATTAATCACCTTTTGTATCTATAATACTAATTATATATTTTTTTGTATTGCTTATTTGATAAAGTGCAACAGCCCCAAGTGGTGCCTGACCTATATGTATGTTGTTATTTTCTTCAAATAAAAACCCTTTTTGTTTTAATATATATTTTGTACAATGAATCTAAACTTTTATTGAGTATTTATTTCTTCTTCAATTAGTCAAGATTTGAAACATTTTAGGAACTCTTGAGAAGTGGAGACCTTTAACAATGACTTTAGCAGACACATTAAGGGAGCTCCAAAGTGGTAGACAAGAAGTGTTTCTTCCAAGACCGCTTCTCTCAAGGTTTGTCATTTTGAAAGTTACTGTTCAATTGTAACTACTTTATTCATTATATTAACTAGCATATTATAGTAGAAACTACACTTATTTATTGTTTTATTATTGTTATTTCATAGTACCTTATTTTGAGATAGATGACCCTGAAATAAACCAATGAATATATTATTGTTTAACATTTATCTGTGCCTTAGATTCAATTAGATAAAATTGTATAATGTGTTTAACTTTATAGTTGCTTATTTTGAAATAGATGGCCTTGAAATAAACCAATAAATATTTTATCTCTGCCTTAAATTGAATTAGATAAAATTATATCTAAAATAAAATAGTTTGTTAACTGCTAATTTTTGCTTTCAACATTCTCATTAGGCCAAGATTTTTTCTAATAATTATACAATATGTTAACTTTTATTCCTTACTCCAGAGAACGGTATAGAAAACCAATGAGTGATATTGATACAGCTAATGAATAGACAGGCATAGAGTATACTTGCTATCCCACTACTGGTGGAGGTGTAACCATGCGTCTAATAACGACATGCAGATAGGCGAGTTGAGAGCTACTCTTTATTTCTTTCATGTCTAAATATAATTATTTTTCTTGGTGAGCTGGTTAACATATTTTATATTGATGACGAAACCTGATATATCTAACTCCACATTTTAATAAATTTCAGGTTTTAGTGTCATCTAATAGCTAGCGGGCATACTATCACTGTATAAAATGGTGAATTATCATTCCTGCAGTAATTGTTCCAAATTGGAAAATATAACTTTTGGCAGCTGACTTTTATAAACGAAAAAACTGTATTCTGCTAGTTTGCACAATTCCGTCCTGCTAAGACAAGTAATCGTATCTACAAAATGAATATTTTTAGTAAATGAACATAATTATGTCCTTTTGGACTTTTTATAGTAAGTTTTGCAGTTTTGACTAACCTTTTTATATTGAAATGTTTTTTAATGTAAATAGGTTCTTTCTAAATTTCTATCATACTAAAATATAAACTTATTAAATGTAAGAATCTCAAATACGAACTTTATGTAGATACGACCTCTTTTCTAATGATTGGTTTTCGATATATATATATATATATATATATATATATATATATATATATATATATATATATATATATATATATATATATATATATATATATATATATATATATATATATATATATATATATATATATATAAAGAATAACTATCTGTCCAATAAAGTTATGTGTCCAATAAATAAAGCATTTCTGAGAACTTATCTACAGATAACTATCTCTCGATAGTAATCCATTTAACTAGGTTTGATATATTCTCACTGGATGGACAATTTAATGTTGTGTTGTTATTTTTAAACGACTTAATACAAAATACAAAAAAAATACAGTTTAGATTTTCTGAAACATTTTGTTGAAGTGCTATTTCTAAATTGTTCAAATTGAGAAATTTTTGGACTAGTATCACCCCTTACTGTATTGTATGCTATGATGTCTATTATAAGGAGTGATTAAAGAAAGGGCTGTTTAAATTCAATGTATTTTATGATTTCATGTATGTATTTCTTAAATTGTATGTTTAATGATGAAGCCTTCATGGTATTTTGTTACCTAGCATTATTATGAAGGCTCTAAAAAATACTATATACAGTATTTTTGTGGTTAATTACTATTTGAATTTATAAAATATAATGTTTCCATTGTTTATTTTCTGTCAACCGTTTTAAGCTTTAGCTCACAACTGCTTTTTATGAAATTTATAATAAAAATGAATTTTAAATCCATTTTTTTTTATTAAAGGCTGACTTCAAAAATGCCCCAGTTTGGAGGTGGAGATCAACACGATTCTCATGAATTGTTGAGACATTTGTTAGAAGCAGTAAGGGAAGAAGATTTGAGGAGATATAAAATTGTTATTCTTCAGAAACTGGGTAAATTTAAAAAATCGCAAATCAATCAATTTAATTAACAATATTAACACTATTGATATTTGTTAATATTATCATTTACTTGAAGGTTTAATTGAAAACTGTTATATTCACAAATTAAAAATATGGTTTTCCTGTCAATTGAATTTTATGAAATCTATAATTTTCTTGAAAACTGTCGAACAAATTCATGCACTAGTTGGATTTAAATTTTAAATCACTCTGTAGAAATACAGAAAGTACATTCCACTTTTAAAAGAAGCTTACTCTACAAACCTTCAATTAAATTGTAAATATTACAGGCATTAAAAGTCTTAACTCTAATCCTGTTGACTTGAAATATTTTTCTTATGCATAATAAAGGTTCTAAAAAGTAGCCCAAATCTAATTTCAATTTGTAGTTGGTGGATCACATACTAGCCTTGTTTTAGGCCTGAATAATAAAACTGACCCGGCCACTGTTGAAGGTGATAAAAAGAAAATAGTCAAATTTTACGGGCAACAAGCTTCTGAAATGCTATTACCCACAGAACAAGTTTTTAGGGGTGTACTGGTCAGTACACTTCAATGTCAAGACTGCGGGCACACCTCTCATAGAGACGAATTTTTCCTCGATTTGAGGTAAACACTTTTATCAGCTCATTATTTGTTTTAATTTTCTAATTTTTTTCTTTATTTTTAGCTTACCTATAAGCGAGAAACAGGTTCCGCCAGTTTTGAGAAGAAAAGCGGAAGATTTGGACGATAACAAACCATCAAAACATCAAATTAAAAAAGAAAAACGTGCAGAAAGGAAGAAAAATAAAAAACACAAGGCACTGGCATCGAACACTATTATTTTTAAGCAAGATGGTACTTTTGTCAGTAAATCTGATAGCGAATCAGATGCTGATGTTGAGGATAATGCTGATGTAATTAAAAATAATTTTTTTTATTCATTCATTGTAATAATCCGTACTTTTTTTTCAGGACCCTGCATTAAAAGTTGCTCAACGTGAAGACATTCCCAAGGGTACTGAATCTGGTTATAACTCAGATAAAATCGACAACAGCAGTCCTGACTCAAATAACAGAGGAGTGTCGCCGGAAATGAGGGTAGACGACAGCGGAGTTCCTAGTCCCATTATTGGAATGCTTAGTGTATCTCCTGGTAGTCCTGAAAACAGTCCTGCATCTAGTGAAACCAATCTAGACACTTGCAGTAGTTCGAGTCCAGTATGTGGAAATAATAGTCCAAATGATGAGTAAGTAAGAACTTAGTAATTTTAGAGAACAGATAAAGGCGACATTAGCAGACTCAAGTTTTCTTAACAATAACTAATTTTGATAAATTTCATGTATATATCATATTTAAGAGTCTTGGATGGAGATGGAGCAATATTATATTAATCATTTATCAGGTCCTGATTGGCATGGCAACACTGTGTTGAAATCATATTTTGTGTAGTTAATCAAAACTCTATCGAAACCAGATATTTTATTCCCATTTAGACCCATCATCAAACAAACAAAATGATCGGGCGAATGTGGTGTAATGTATGTCTTTGTCTATTGAAGCATGTATTCAAGTCGCCATACTCTACTACAAACTTTTTTCTTTTTAACAGACTTCAAAAAAGGAGAAGGTTATCAATTCGTCCCGATATTTTTTTTATGTATGTTCAGCGATAATTCTTCAACACGGTGTCCGATTTCAATGATCCTTGGTGATTCCATATATTTGGTTAAAATCTAATAATTGGGTCCATGCGGAAATCCTCAAACTCTTCATTTTTTATGTATGTTTAGCGATAATGCTTTACCACCTTGTCCGATTTATATGATTCTTGTTTTGTTAGTAAGTGGATACCTCAGGGGTGGTCCCATATAAATTTGGTTAAGGTAGTTCACTCGTAAAACGGCTTTTCTTAAGAATTCAATAAAATTTAAATATAAGGTTTATGAAAGTGTCGTTTACGTAACTAAAAAAAAATTAGATTTTTTGACCATCTGTGAAACGAGATATTAACAATCAAAATGTGCATAATTAACACTCTTGAAGCCTATCATGTACACAAGCAATGCATTTATTTCAAGATATCTCGAAAACGGTTCTTACCATATTTTTTAAAAACTAATGTTAAATAAATCAAGAAGTTATCAAATTTTATAGATAATCGCTGAATTTTTTGACTATCTTAGTAAAAAGATATAGATTTTTAAAATAAAAATATTTTTAAAGCAGTTGACGAGTAGTTTGGTAAAATTATTACAACTTGGCAACATTGTAGCCACTTCACGTATCAAAGTAATACTCGATCAGCTAAGAGGTTGTTATAAACTCGCGACGTCTTCTTGAAAAATTAATTCGTCCACTGTGTTTGAGAACTGGAATCAGCGGTTCTGTTTGATCCAAAACAAACCCTTAAAATTAGTATGAGGAAGTCACAAATTTCTATACCATATCGTTTAAATATTTGCGAGTTTGCTGGTTGAAATTGAATAAAATTATAACTTGTCCATATGTGTTTATATACATGTGTTTTGTACAGTCTCTTACAAAAATAAAATTTATTAGCATTGAGAATCTCGAACTTTTGGTATTCACCATTACGCGATATTTTTATGTACGACTGTCGCGAGTGAACTACCTTAAGATGTGGTGATGGCATCTGCATGTTTTTGAAGTCGGTTTTTTTAAATTTTTAATTTCTAATACTTGTTCTTTTTTTCATTATACTACCTACATTTAATTTTAACATAATATTCGGATTTTGTCTTATCGCTGATTATACTACAATCTTTTTTATTTTTTTTTTCTCATTTTTTAATTATTATTATTATTATTATTATTATTATTATTATGTGTTCAATTTTATCACAATAACATTCATATTTTGCCTTATCGTCAATATTATTAAAATGTTTTTGTTTTTTCCTTTTTTTTTTTATTTATGTTTAATTATATAACTCACACGTTAGATAATTAAGTTTAGAATGTCTCTTTTTTCATTACATGTATGATTTTTTATGTAAAGTTTTGGTTACATTTTTTTACATTAATTTTAAATTATTATTATTATTAAATATTCAAAATTAGTTAGTAAAGACACTTGTCGCCATTCATTCTCCATTAAATCATTTGTGAATTTACTCAAATGCAAATTGCTAGAACTCATCAGGCACTATATTTTAAAATATTCGAGTTGGAAGGTTTTTTTGAAAACGTTTTAAATTTGTGGTTACTTAAAATAGGAATTTTGTGCATGTATGAAGAAAAAATCGTAGATTCCAACTGTTTTTATGAGGGTGCCACTCCCTCCTTTTCCCGCTATTGTAGGGTGAGGGTAGCGTTTTTTACATAACTATGTAATAAATCAGATCTATTGCAAATGTGCCAAAAATTACATTTTTATCTCCACTGTAAATGTGAACATTATTATGATAAAATTAAACATTGAAATAAACAAATTAAAAAACAAAAAAGATTGCATGTGCTGACTTTGAATGTGTGTGTGTGTGTGTGTGTGTGTGTGTGTGTGTGTGTGTGTGTGTGTGTGTGTGTGTGTGTGTGTGTGTGTGTGTGTGTGTGTGTGTGTGTGTGTGTGTGTGTGTGTGTGTGTGTGTGTGTGTGTGTGTGTGTGTGTGTGTGTGTGTGTGTGTGTGTGTGTGTGTGTGTGTGTGTGTGTGTGTGTGTGTGTGTGTGTGTGTGTGTGTGTGTGTGTGTGTGTGTGTGTGTGTGTGTGTGTGTGTGTGTGTGTGTGTGTGTGTGTGTGTGTGTGTGTGTGTGTGTGTGTGTGTGTGTGTGTGTGTGTGTGTGTGTGTGTGTGTGTGTGTGTGTGTGTGTGTGTGTGTGTGTGTGTGTGTGTGTGTGTGTGTGTGTGTGTGTGTGTGTGTGTGTGTGTGTGTGTGTGTGTGTGTGTGTGTGTGTGTGTGTGTGTGTGTGTGTGTGTGTGTGTGTGTGTGTGTGTGTGTGTGTGTGTGTGTGTGTGTGTGTGTGTGTGTGTGTGTGTGTGTGTGTGTGTGTGTGTGTGTGTGTGTGTGTGTGTGTGTGTGTGTGTGTGTGTGTGTGTGTGTGTGTGTGTGTGTGTGTGTGTGTGTGTGTGTGTGTGTGTGTGTGTGTGTGTGTGTGTGTGTGTGTGTGTGTGTGGGCGCGTGTGTGTGTGCGCGCGCGGGCGTGGGTGGGTGTGTGGGTGTGTGCGGGCGGGCGTGGGTGGGTGTGTGTGTGTGTGTGTGTGTTCTTAATTCTTTTCCTAAATGGCTTCATCGATTTTGATTATTTTTTTATACTTATGGGGTCTTAGCTATAGTTGGACCCGGTGGGTGGCGCTGTTGTGAAATTCCAGAATTTTTTTTTTATTTTCCGACCCTTTTTTGTTTCTCACATAAAAAACAATCCCAAATTTTCAGCCTCTCAATATTTTTTAATACTTATACAGGTTGTCCGGAAATTGCGTATACATGGAGCTACCATAGGTTTATGGGTTCAAAATAAGTTGATTTAACCAAACTTTATTCATTTAGCCTATAGAGGTCAACAATGTTGAATAAAAATATGTTTAATCTCCAGAAAACATCAGACTTTGTACGAATAGCAGATGTTTTATTGCCAATTAAAAGCAGCACGAACAATTTTTCTATGGCGATCATAAGCGTCTCATTAGGGGGAAGGTAACGGACTTTTCTCTAATTTTTTTTTGTCATTTTTTCAAAAAAAAAAAAAAAATTGTTATATATAGCCATGCTTACATCCCTACTTATTACTATGAAAGATGGTGTCAATCATTCATTATTTGTAAAGTAGTCTGGCTAAGTGATCTAAGTGCCAAAATAATAATTTTCTTTTTTTTATCAATACGATCTATGTACCAGTGCCAAAAGATCCACGTGCCAATTTCATTGTGGTGGTTGAAAACGACGTTCAAAGCGGAGGCTGCCTGTATGTTCGGCATGATAATCTCTGCAGTTTTCTTTGATTTCAGCAGTTTTTAATTTTGGCACTTATATCACTTAGCCCGACTACTCTACATTTCATTGACACCATCTTACCAAGTGTAGCGACATACTTGCACTACATATCTTTATCATTTTCATACGCATTAAATTGCTGTCATCTTTTAGACAACCTTTCGTGGCAGTTCTAGCAAATACAAAAGGTGGAACTCATCGAGAGGGGAATAAAAATTGTTTATTTTATAATTATGACTTTGGATTTTTTTTTTTTTTTTTAACTCCAGAAACATTAAACACAAAAGGTTTTCTAAAAGATGACAGCAATTTAATGCGTATGAAAATGATAAAAATATGTAGTGCACGTATGACGCTACACATAGTATGTACTAAGTAAGGATTTAAAGCATGGCATATGAAAACTTTGAATCAATTTTTTTTTTTCTAATAGCGACATCCAACAAGAGTAACTTTTTGAGTAAAAACTCCTTAGTTTCCTATTTCATTGCCAGAAATGTCAAAAAGTGACAGATAAAAAAATAGGAAAAATGTCTAACGAGACACTTATGATCGCAATATAAAAATTGTTCTTCCTGCCTTTAATTGGCCATAAAACATCTAGTATTCGAACCAAGTTTCATCTTATAAAATGGCTGACAGATATTTTTATTTTACTTTGTTGATTTCTAGTGGTCAAATGAAGCACGGTATTATATAAGTAAGTTTGCTTAAATTAACTTATTTTCAGCCCTAAAATATGTGGTAGCTCCATTTACACGCAATTTCTGGACACCCTGAATATTATATTTATTAAAATTATTCAATAGGAATTCATTATTAAATTTAAAATGCCAAAATTGATAAGTGAATCAACAAAAAATTACATAAAGAAAACGTATTGGTTGGTTGATATCTATAGTAGATTCAGTTTCCGAGATTTTTCAGTTTTAACCCTACTCATACATGAAATCATTTAAATTATCACTAAGATGATCTTTTAAAATTAATAAACATTTAGATTGATTTTACTTTCTCTTTTTTTTTTTCAAGAGCGGTAGAAGAATTTGAAAGGCCCGAGTCGAGGATGGCATTTGTAAGTAACAAAAACACGGATCTAAAAGTTGATCTAGAAAAACTTAGTTTAGTAAATGCTGATAATTCTAATAAGAACACGGAACTGTTTAATCAAGACGAAGACAGCAATATGGAGGGTGCTTGCGGTCCTGTTCAACAGGAGGCTGAGAAGGTAGAGCATGAGTTGAGATTTTTTAACTAGTTTGATTGGAAGGCATGTGAGTTTGAAAGTCATGTTGAGTGCTTATTTGTTAAAAGCGTTTTTTTAGAACTATCAATAGCTTCAATATGCTCATGGAAACAAAAATCTTTAGTTAAAAGTTTTCTGTAATTTATATTAAATGTTCGAGTCACTATAACTTATCACCTTTAATAACTTTTTAAAAGTACTTGTCGATTCCATTGAAAAACAGTGTCTCACGCTTTTGTAATGATGGCTAACAGGTGTTATTTACCACCTTACTGCGCCCTACTGAGACGTGTACAGAATGAGCAGATATTTCTAAATTTGGTTTTGACAGATCAATTTTGAGCTCTCATATTTTAATATTATATATATAAGAATATATATATATTATTTATTTGATAAATTATAAATATAGAACTGAGTAGTTTCCTTTCAATTAAGTTAATTATTGAGATGAAATATTGCATCGATGTTCACAATTTTTTTTTTTTTTTTTTTTTCGTTAATTTCAAAGAATATTAATGATTTGTCCATCCTAACAAATATTTATTTGCTTGATAATTTACAGTATTTTTAATATGATATTTTTCATAATTGTTTACAAATAAAAAACTACAAATATTAACAGACTAACGCAATATTTTACACACCTAGGGCTCTCAAATTATATTCAATTGTTACTTCCTTAATTTATTGAAAATATCGTATTGTTTAAACACCCAGGTAGCACACTGACGTTGCAGCGACGTCATTTATTGGTCATCCGTTACCAAGATGTGACCGCAAAATGACGTGCAACTCACGTTATTATGTCACGGCCCAGTGACGTCATTTTGTGACGTTACTCTTACATCATTTTGTGACTTATTATGACGTTAATTGTGCATATATCTAAAAGGAGGCTCTATGGGGCTTATAGGAAATAATATTACATATTGGTAATAATAAACAAGTCTTTATTATAAAATAATTACATATAAAAAATTATTAAAACTAAACATTAAAAACCATAAATACTGGATATAAAGTTCCAGAAGAAGCTAAAAAGATAATTACTGCAACAAAAGCAAGTTCCTTATAAATAAATCAATATTTTTCACATCTATTGTTAGAGCATTATGCAAACATAATTTCCTGTAGGGTGTCCAATAAACTTCTCTTTTTCAAGGTGTTAATCATTAAGGCCAGGCCGCCCTCATAGTCATCCGAAAATTGTATTACTACTTACGTATGTATGCAATCACTAAAATATAACAATTTGTATGCTCTAAAATACATAACATAAGGAATACCTTACTTAATAACAAAAAAATTCGAGTATAAGATGCTATTTTTTTCAACACACCGATCACGTCATGTTAATGTTAACCTAACTTTTTTCTTTTCTCTTCTATGCTTTCTCTTATTTGGCCCTCACCCTATCAGCTGCTAGCCATCAAAATATAAAATTCCCAATGTTTTCTTGAAGGGCAGCACAAATTGTTTTTGTCGTTCTGGAAAAATAAAATAACCAACTATGTTGCACTTAAATTTAAAAATGTATGACCAAATTATGACGTATATATAACGTAACAAAATTATGTGATATTGAGGTCACATTTATGTGGTCTCTGAGAAGTCATTTTTAGGTGACGTCCGAGGCTAATTATCACCAAAAAATGACGCCGAACTGGGCAGCTTATATTCTAATTTAACAGTCCGATTTATGTCGTTAATTTAGTCATAGTTAAAAATTAAATATTTCTCGAATCGTCAGCTAAGAGAAATTTACAAAAACCTTTTTCTTATCAGATGGAAGAGGATGATGGTTTAGAAGAAGAAGACGACGATGAAAACTTGTGGTCTGGTACCATATCCTCTCGTTATCAGTGTGAGGAAGGTGAATGTTCTGTACAGTCTTGTTTAAGTCAGTTTACCGAATGTGAACTGATGGCCGGTAACAACAAAGTTAGCTGCGAGTCTTGCACCAAGAGGCTCGGAGGGCCCGAGAAAAAGACCGTTTATACCGACGCTTCGAAGCAGTTGCTCATTTATAACCCACCCGCTGTACTTATTCTACATTTAAAACGTTTCCAGGTAAGATTTGGGCGTTCTTCATGTTTTTATTTTTACCTGTAGCTTGTTAAGTACTGCGCTGTTTTCATTGAGGTAGTATGGAATGTAGATGACTTACACATTTGTTCTCAACAGAAAATATGACGATTGTAATTACAATATGCGAAATTACCAAGGTTGTGTTAAAAACTACAGTAGAGCATCGATAATCTATATTCAAATCCGGTGAAAAAAAAGTAGACGTGAATACATATTTGTCAAACAAAAGCATTGATGCGACAGACTGGGCGGGGTCGTCTTAACCACTAAGTGTATAACATGTTCAGTTTTTCTGTAAATGTATGTATATATTCTTTCATTAAAATAAGTTCATATTAATTAATGATTTTATTTATCTGCTCAATTATTTAACCATAAAAGTGAAATATTAACGGTTTTACCAAATTTTCTTTTGTTATGAACTCAAACGACCTTTTTTGATTATTTTCGAAAATACAGACATTTTGATAATTCGGACAGGGTCTGGTCTCAATTAATCCGAATTATCGTCGCTCTACTGTATTTGTAGTCGAATACACTAACTGAAAAGTATTTGTTTATAGAAATTTATTTTCTAAATTAGTATTTTATTGTACAATGGATGTCCATAAAATAACGTCTCCATTTTTTTTTACAAAAAAAGCGTTTATTTACAATGGATTATACATTATTGGAAAGCCGGGGCTGTCTACTATTTTTCTACATAATGTCCGTTGCGATCGATGCATTTTTGTATGTAGTGTAGCATTTTTCGTATACCCGTGTCATATAACTCGTGCAGGTAGCGTATGACCTCTTCTTTGCTTAGTAGGCTTCCAATTATATCTATCCAGAGCTACAATCGTTCTGAATCTCTTGGAAATCTAAAAGCGAAATTAGCCACGAGTTATTCAGTTAACACCGAAGTAAGACACATTTGTATACATGCACAATTTTACAGGTTTAATATTAATATAAATTTGATAATAAAAATAGTCAATCCTGTATAGGATTTCTTCTCAAATACAAATCTTATGCATTTTTACATATAAGAGAAAAATAGTGCTTTCAGTTTTAAGTCTTTCTGAAAGTTTTTTATATAGCTTTATTAATACCAGTATAAGGAACGAGTGATAGTAAAAAAACAAATTCCCTTATGAAAACCTCAACAAACTTTGTTAATAAAGAAGTTATTAAACAGTGGCAACATTAGCCAATATTTCTTAAGTAAAGCCATGTTCATTGTTATGCTCAAATACGAAAAGTTATTTTTGAACTTGTTTTCTTTTTATCTACAAATAGTTTTTGGGTTGGGTTCTAATTAGCAGTTCTGTTACTCGAAGTAGCGCTGAGAAACAGTGATAAAGCCTGCACAGAATACACTTTACTAACAGAAAAATCCAATTACAAACTGAGACTGGTTAATTAGGTAGACCAAAACCATAAAAATAAAACGGTCACTGAAAACCAATAAATTATAATACAATGTTTAACTTAAACAATTGACCAAAGTCAGGTATCAATGAAAGCTATTTAGAGTTCAAATGGTGGGGATAGATGGTAATCTATCCAATCCTATATGACCGTACCCATAGGTGTACCAGAAGATTACCATTTTGGACCATTATTGTTCTTAATATACATCGATGATAATGAAGATAATTTCCAATATAGTCATTTTTCACTTTTTGCTGATGACCTAGAGATATACAGGGTTTTTCCGAACTTGGCGTCCAAATTTGTATCGGTGGTAGTTCGCATAATTTGAGAGCGATTGGTAGATTTCATTTTTCTAAAAAAATTATAATAAACAAAATAGAGCCATTATAAAGACATCAAAAGCGGGTCCTACCCTGAGCACGTAGCGCAATAGTCGCCTGATCGGTTACTCATCGGGATTTACAACTCAAAAACAGATGCGATTTGCAAATTTCTCCCTCCGCCCGGCCGGTATCGAAAGACGTAGACGATTGTTCTTCTAGTGCATATTGCTTTGTAGGGTTGTTTACCTTGCGTTCAGAGAATTTGGAATACACGGTTTACTTTTATAATTTATCCATGATACTCAACATTTAGAGACCATATGGAATAAATAAACATTAAATAAATTTGAAAAAGATATCATTCGTAATTTATCAAATATTATTTTGTCGATTCTAAGCAAACTTACGGAGAACTCGATCGTAGCGCACGCGAGTCGAGGCGGTCCCCATCGCTGTGCAGGACCGTACCTGTTTAAAATTTTTAATTATTTTTATTTTAAATATTTTGGAAAAATGAAATCTGCGAATCGGTCTCAAATTATGCGAACTACCACCCCTACAAATTTGGACGCCAAGTTCGGAAACACCCTATATAAATGCCCATTAATAGTGTCATTGAATGTTATTTTTTTACAAAGTGATATTAATGCACTCGATGATTGGTCTGTGAAGAACTGTATGTCACTTAATATTAACAACTGTTACACAATTTATTTTGGTGGAGGACATGAACAGATTGGATGTGACTACTCAATGGCGGATTCACTTATTAAACGTGTTAATGAAATAAAAGATTTAGGGCTGCTCTTAGATCAACATATATCGTTTGCTCCTATACCACTCATGCAATAAATAAAGCTCCCATAACTTTAGGTTTTGTCTTAGGGAACTCAAACAACCACTCATTTAATTCCATTAAAAGTTTACTCTGCTTATATGTTAGACCAATATTGGAATGTGGGTTGCAAGTTTAGTCGCCATGTTATGATGTACATATAATAATAATAATAATAAAACTTTATTTATAGAAGTATATAACAAAATAAAAAAACGTGATGATATAAAATTAAAATATCGATAAGTACTAGTGTACTTGTTTCGAAATGAACATTATCCAATGATTAGTAGATATACCTACAATAAAGATACATTAAAAGTACAATAAAGATATAATAAAAATACAATAAAAGGTCCTTGTGAAATAAATGTTATTCACTTGATTATATCAGGTTATTAAAAAAAATGCTAGGTAATTAGTCTGTTCAACACAAATTTCTGAAATATTGTGAATTCAGATCAGGTTTAGCATTTGGCAACTATATAATTATAATTAAAAGAATCAAAAGTGGTTAACGGTTATGTGCACGTAGCTTAGATTAGAAAAAAAAGATTAGTATTTCATGCAAAATTGTTTAATTAAAATGCAAAGAGCTTTCGGCATAACGCCATCTTCAGTGCTTGTCTACAATACTTGTAGGTGTAAATATATGTAAATATACAATGTGAACAAGAAATTTGAGTTACAAAATGTATTTTTAAAAGATTTTTTTTTTAACAGTTAACAAAGGTACAAATGAAAGGAAAGTGCAAAATTACACAAAAAGAAACCCAATGTTGGAGACAATGATTAGAGCATAAACCCTTAATCCTTCAAATAGAACCTCAAGCAGCATGTACTTGTGTAGAGATAAGGGGCTATGCCCCAATCAGTGTCCAAATTGAATTGTATTTACAGTTAAAAGACAAATTAAAATTAAAGAGGGAAAAACGTGAAGAATCTAACTGAAAATTAGTTTGAATTTAGAGAAAAAAGGAAATTAATTATAAAAAATATTACAAAATAATTATACAAAAAGTTTAAGAGTCATCTTCATTCCGAACATTAAAGTTTGGAGTTTCCCACCCTGCTAAATTATCATAGTTATTTTCTTTAAATGTTTTTATACATTTTTGTATTAATTCATAATTTCAAAAATATAAAAAAAAAATACTATGAATATTTAGCAAGGTGACTGTTGTGGATAATTCATTTCCTTTTTTCTCTAAATTCAAACTAATTTTCAATTAGTTTCATCCAGGTGGCGGCTGTTTAGCTGCGAAGGTGGAGGGCGCAAATTTGCTTGAAGGTGGGGATTTTTAATTTTTGTTTTTACGAAAATTCATGGCATGACTTCTTGAAATTGAAATCTGCTCGACGATCCTTCATTGAAATACATTTTTCCATGACTTTTTCGTCGAAATGATTCATCTCCAGAACTAAATTTCTATTTATTGATATTATATCTAAGGCGTTTAGTCTTATCATTTAGCATGGTGCTTTGTACAAATTCTGTAAAAACTATAAAACAACTTTAAAAAGGCAAAACAGGCGCCCTAATCTGCACTAAAACAGCCGACTGCAAGACGTACTCGTTAGCGCGTGTCCCATTCCGTTTCCATTAGTGACGCGGCCCTCTATCTTGCTGCGGCCGACGATAGTCCAGTCAAAGAGATCATAAATTGTTATAGGAAGGATTTGGAGGGGACATAATAAATAACACTCATAGAATGTGTCAAGACGATAGGAACAATTATAAAATAAACAAATAATATTTTTAATTAGGATTTTATTCTCTGGTATTTTTGAGGAAGGGCGCTACAATGCGGCCTTGAAAGAGTAGCCGCCCCTGGATTCATCACATGTTTTCCTCCTTTAATTTTAATTTGTCTTTTAACTGCAAACACAATTCTATTGGGACATAACCCCCTATCTCTACACATGCTTCTTGAGGTTCTATTTGAACGATTAAGGCTTTATGCCCTAATCATTGTCTCCAACATTGGGTTTTTCTGTAAATTTGTACTTGCCTTCCATTTCTAACTTGTTAACCGTTAAAAAATATTTTAAAAATTAATTTTGTAACTTAAATTTCTTGTTCATATTTTATATTTACATATTTTTATACCATATATTTACAAACACAATTATTGTAGATAAGCACTGAAGATGACGTTATGCCGAAAGCTCTTTGCATTTTAAATAAACAATTTTGCACAAAATACAAATCTTTTTTTGCTTATATGATTATGTTTATTAAAGTTAATGAATCTTAAATAAATATATAGAATTTTGAAGGGATACAGTAGATTTATTATTTTTGCATAAAGTAATATCAGGATCTTTTAATTGCTCTTAACTTTTAGAATCCATTCAATTTAGAGTACCAGTAAAATATAGTGGTTAAAATTATTTATTCTTTATTCCTTTTCACAGAATGCATCGAAGTGCGAATTCAATAAATTTGGATATTCTGGGTACATCTTTGAATAGCTTTAGAAGCGCTGCAAAACATATTCTCTTGATATTTTTTGAATATTTTAAAAAATTTCCAATAATTTTTATTGATATTTAATATTTTATAATAAAAAAAATTATTATTACTTATTGACTGACTTAAGTGTTGGTGTTTGTTTTTAAAATAAAAGTTGCAAATTAATGTAGTATCTCTTAAAAGATTTTTTATTGTAATAGGAATTTGCTGTATGTTGTTCAATAAATAGAATAAATATGGCAATAGTGGCGTTGCTTTAATGGCGTGATAGCATCTCCCTTCCACACTACTTCAAAACAGTTTCTCTCATAAATTCATAAAATAATAAATTTTTGTTACTAGGTTAATAGGTTCCGTTCAGCTAAAGTCAACAAAAACGTGAAATTCACGGCTCTACTGGACTTGGCACCCTTTTGCTCAAAACGCTCACAAAACCTACCAACTTTTGAAGCAGGTCAAACCAAAGTCCTTTATTCTCTCTATGGTGTGGTCGAACATAGCGGCAGTATCCACGGTGGTCATTATGTAGCTTACATCAAAGTCCGATCTCCTCTAGACGAAAACAGCTACAGATGGCAGTATCTACCCAAGAACCAAAAGACAAAAACTGATAACAGTCCTAAGGGAGCGCTAGGTGATCCTGAAGTACCCGCTGGAAGATGGTTTTACATTAGTGACTCATATGTTTCTGAGGTGTCCGAATCTAAAGTCTTAGCTGCGCAAGCGTATTTACTGTTTTATGAAAGAATTATGTAGGTTTCTTTAATTCCCATTCCTAGATTTTTGTATTGGAATTATTAGTATAGATGTTATAAATACGTTCATTTGAAGTATCTTACAGATTGTAAGGATCACTCTGGATATACGTCAATTTATGGTCACTAAATAATTCGCTTTTCTCAGACTTATTTTGCAACGATGCTGTAATAATATGTCACAATATTTGATGATGTGTTCATTTATCTTATTGAATAGAATAACTCTATTAAAATTTAGTTTTTTGATGATATACAAATAATCTGATAATGCCATTAAATTATATTCGATTCTATAAAATAATTATACCTTTATTTTGAGCTTTTAAAATTTACTTTACATATAATTTTACTGACAATTTTAATTTCGTCATAATAATTTATAGAACTCATTACATATAATATTAGTATTTTAATCATTTATTTTCGGCATTGCTGTATATCTTTATTTTTTTTTTTACAGACAAAAAGGAATTGAATTATACATAAAAACTATTACGGATATTTATTTAGGTTATTTTATTCAAATGTTGTATGTTACAGACCAAATCATATATGTCTACAACAAGGGACAAATCTCTTTTAGTATGCGAGTTTAATAAAATGTGAATTATTGAATGCAAAATGTTTGGACCTAATTGATTACATTTAAACTAAATCAGAACGGAATATTGTTCATTGGGCCTTTATGAGCAAACCAACAATTTAAAACCTGAAGAACTGTATTAATTATCCTTTATCTGCTATTTTCTTCTAGGTAAAATGTTTTTCTTGTTTCACATATTGTCTGTAACATATGGAGTCGCATATAGAACAAGCACTCCCTTCATTTATATATTGACTCAGTGATTATGTCCCAGCTCTGTACTAAGTATTTAAATGCCAATAAAATTGAATACCTACCTATGAAGATGTTTATATTTATTTTAAATCCTGGATAAAATATGCCTCAACTATCTTTAAAGTGATTAAAAATCACCAATTAAACGTTTTCTCATTTAAAGACTTGAATTGAAGGTATTTATAAAAAAAATTTTGTTTAATAATGTTATATCTTGTATAAATTTACTTGAAATGAACGATACTTGAATTTAAGGAATTTTGTTTGAGAGTTTCATTGTGAGTTGAAGTTTGTTAAAAGTAAGTTACTAAATTATGTTTCATCGAAAAATAGAGTAATGGAGTGTTAGGTTGGCAGTAGGCTCAGTTTATTTCAAGGGTGGCCCAATTTTTGGGCTATTAGCCATTCCATCTTTCAGCATATTTTTTTAATAAAAGGCGCATGGATTGTGAGATATTTTTAATCTTGGGGGCCAACCTTGGTTCATTTACAGGTATTCCTCATATCAATATCACATTATAATTAGGAAATCAATAATTTATATGAATCTTAAAAGCATTCTTTGTACTCATACCTTCTAGAGAGAAGGCATTTTGCCAGTCAAAATCAATGTATTATTTAATTAACTTTACTCTTAATGAAACCATGTTTTATCACTCTATTTAAATATGAAACTGATTGTCATTTTTTTAAATTCACAATTGTGTATTTATTAAAATTATTTTATACCTACTAAAGTCTTTTGTTTTTCCTTGAAAAGTCTTCATCTTGTATTTACAGGGAAATGAAAAATGCACTGGTAAGATCCAAAAATTTTTAAAAATCAAATTTAGAGACTTAAGCGTGAAAAGAGGCCAGATTGGTTTGTCTGTCAGTAGTTCAATATGTTCACTTTCTAAAAAATCAGGCAATTTCCAATCATATAAATAGTCAAAGAAATTTTAGTGAAAATAGTCAACACCTTAGGGTTACCAACAATGTCATTTTAACTCAGAGTCTGTGGGTTTGCCAATATTTTTTGGGTTCTGGGTTTATAAGTATAAAAATTCTCCAGAAAGCATCATGAAACCAATAAATGAAGCTCTACTTTTTTGAGGGCAATATTATGCTCTCTGGATCAGAATTTGGACGATTTGAAAAGTGAAGAGCAAAAAAAAGGTGTGTAGGTATTCCTTAACAAAGTATTTTTTTCTCAGGGTCAGCATCCCTGCAATATTGGCAACCCTACAACTCAAAAAATAATTGAAAGTATGGATTAAAACATCTTGCCCTCTAATTCCAGTATGAAATAATATTTTCTTTAAATATATCAATTTATTTAATCATATTTACAAACTACACTTTTATGATGATCCAGGAAATGGATCTGTTCTATTTTTCCTTAACACAAATTGAATCTTTCTGTCCATATCTTCATTGTAAATCGATTTGCACTTTTCAAAATTAATTCTTCTTCTAAACTAAAATACAAATACATGAATATCTAAAAATCGAGGGTTCTAAGTAAATACCTGGAAAGGTTTTTCAAAATATCTAGTTCTTCGAAATTGATCCAGTATGTCTTCCCGACCCAAAATTCTATTTAAAACTCTACAAGCTGCTTCTACATCGTTATTTTTAACGAAAACAGTTCTTGCTATAAAACTAGCATGTTTTAAAGTCATTATACTGCATGAAGGATAATAATTATAAAATATTAAAATTTTTGACTTTAAAAATTAAGTGACGTTAGTTAGGTTATTTTCTTCTTTTTTATTTTTAAAACGGCCTTTTACAATTCGTTCCATTTCTTATTAAAATTTGAACTAAATACAACTCCATTCTTCTTAATGCTCATCTTACCCCTCCATTAGGCGTTAGGCGCGTGGAGTGGTCTGTGCGTGGAGTACAATGGTAAATCCAATTTACAATGGTAATCCTGCTGTTTTATTTGAAAAAATATGTATATATTTTTTTTGTATAAGTATATTTAATTTGTTAGTTTTATTAGCATATAAAATATATTTACACATACATTTTACCTAAATTTAATGATAGGAAAATTGAAAGAGGTATACACGTGTACAAACTTTTGAATCAAATTATTATAGTGTAGTAGCAAAAATGAAAGCGTTGATTGAAATATTTAATTCTGAGACTAAATCAGTTTTTTCAACAGCCGATTCCAATTCTAGTACACCAAATCGTAATGGTAATGTTAAATTGCCTGAAATAAAGCTGCCTATCTTTTCTGGCGAATATTCCCAGTGGGAGGAGTTTAAAGAATTATTTAAAGCTATTATCGATAATGATGAATCTCTGCCCCAAATTCAAAAATTTTATTACTTGAAAAGTTGTTTATCTGAACCAGTTAAAAAAATAATCAATAAATTAGAGGTTACTGCTAACAATTATTCAATAGCTTGGCAAATTTTAAGTGAAAGATATGAAAATAAACTATTGCTAATTTATAATCATATTCAAGCTATTTTTGATATTCCAAGTTTTACTAAGGTTTCTCATACAGATTTACGTAATTTATATGACTCTATAAATGAACATATTAGAGCTCTAAATAGTTTAGGGGAAAACACTAGTAGCTGGGATAGAATAATAATTTTTATTGCATGCAGGAAATTCGATAATGCAACTTTGACTGGTTGGGAAGCCCATAAAATAAAGGGAGCACTTCCCACATTAGCGATATGGAGGAGTATTTAAAAAACCGTTGTTAGGTATTGGAAAAAATTGACAAATTTAAAAATGTATCTGATAAAAATAATATGTCTGATAAGAAAAGATTTGAGAATAAAAAATCTCAATCTTTCGCTTCTACTTCTCAAACTAAAAATTATAGCTGTTATATTTGCCACAGTGATCATTCTATATTTAAATCTACAATCTTTTTGAATTTAACAATCGATCAAAGAATTGACAAGATAAAAAACTTGAAATTGTGTTTAAATTGTCTAAGACCGTCGCATCCATCCTGGAAATGTAAATTGTCTAAATGCTTAAAATGCCACAAAGCACATAATACGATTTTACATAAAAATGAATCGGGTTCTAGGGAGACAGAGAATATTTCTTGTTCAGCGGGTACAGAGAGCGCAACACGGAATGACTTGGAATTTCCTGGAACAAGCAGTGCTTTAAATTCTATTTCTAGTTGTAAAAGGTTGGAGGGTGGTAATATTCAAACACTTTTGCCTACTGCCTTGATAGAAATTAAAAATTTTGACAATCAATGGATAACTGTTACGGCTTTATTAGATTCGGGTTCACAAAGTAATTTTATTTCGCATAATACGGTACGTACTTTAAATGTGCCGAAAATAAATTTAAAACACACTGTTGTAGGCATTGGAGAGTGCTCAACATTTATTTCGGAGCAAGTAGATCTTGAAATTAGATCAAAAAGTAGCGATTTTAATTCAAAAATAAGATGTTTAATTTTAAATAAAATTTCGGGAGACTTGCCGACTTATTCTTTTGATAAAAATATAAATATACCAGATGGACTTGTTTTGGCGGATCCAGATTTTAATGTAACTAGAGAAATTGATATTTTACTTGGTTCAAACGTATTTTGGAAAGTTGTCGCTAATGGGCAGAGAAGGCTTGGCCCAACCGCGCCATTTTTACAAAATTCTTTACTTGGTTGGTTAGTAGCGGGAGATATTTGTATTCCTAATAAAAAAGAGAAAAGGTCAGCATGTTTTATGACATTACAATCAATAGATGAAAAATTAACTAAATTCTGGACGGTAGAAGAAATTGAAAATAAAAAATATTTAACTAATTCAGAAACTTTTTGTGAGGATAATTTTAGAGAAAATACTTTGAGAAACGAGTCTGGGAGATTTGTCGTTGACCTACCTTTTAAAGAAACAATAAAAGAATTAGGCGAATCATTTTGTATTGCGGCAAATAGATTTAATTTGTTAGAAAAACGGTTAATTAAAAATAAAGATTTAAAAAAAGATTATTCTGAGTTTATACATGAGTTTGAAGATTTAGGTCACATGACTTTGATAGGAAATGCTGACTTAAATAATCGTGAAAACTTACAGGGTTATTTTTTGCCTCATCACCCTGTCATAAAACAAGAGAGCTTAACGACAAAATATCGTGTGGTTTTTGATGCTTCTGCCAAAACAAGTTCAGGGGTATCGTTAAATGATGTGTTACATGTAGGGCCTACATTGGAACAAGATGTTTTTTCGATTTTAAGCAGATTTCGTATACACAATTATGTAATGACTGCAGATATTTCAAAAATGTATCGACAGGTGTTAGTGAATGAAAAACACCAAGACTATCAAAAAATTCTTTGGCGGGATGAACCCACAGAAGAATTAAAAATTTATAAAATAAACAGAATTGTCTATGGCATGGCATCTTCACCTTACTTGGCGGTGAGATGTCTTATGCAGTTAGCAGAGGAAAATCAAAAAGAATTTCCTGAAGAGTCGCACATTATTGTTCGAGACTTTTACATGGACGACCTGCTAACTGGAACAGATTCTAAAGAAAAATTATTAAAATTGCAAAAAAATATTAGTGACATTTTATTAACGGCAGGTTTTGAACTTCGCAAATGGCTGTCAAATGATAAAAACTTATTAAATAATTTTAAACTTAACAAAAATTTAGACGTAAATATTATCGAAATTGGGGATCACGAACAAAACAAAACTTTAGGAATTTATTGGAATGCAAATAACGATTCTATACAATATAAAATAAAAGATGTCAAATATTTGATCCTTTAGGATTGTTAGGAGCGTCTATTGTTATACCTAAACTTATAATGCAGGATTTGTGGAAGTTAAAGCTAGGATGGGACGAAGAGGTTCCTATGGCTATTGTGAATAGATGGGGAATTTTCAGAATGATTTACAAAGAACTATTAAACATAGAAATACCGCGACAAGTCATTTTTGACAGCTATGCTGTGGAGTTACATTGCTTCGCTGATGCTTCAGAAAGGGCTTACGGGGCATGTGTATATATAAGATGTTCTTCATTTTCAGGACAGATAGTTTCGAATTTCATGTTCAAAGTCTCGTGTAGCTCCGATCAAAAATGTCACTTTACCGAGACTAGAACTTTGTGGAGCTGTTCTATTGGCTCAATTGATTAAGAAGGTGACATCTGTTTTAGAAATACATTTTACTGGTATCTACTATTGGACAGATTCTATGATAACTTTGTCTTGGATCAAAGGTTCGCCCAGTAGATGGAAAACATTTGTTGCCAATCGAGTCAGTGAAATACAAACATTGACAGATATTAATTTCTGGCACCATGTCAAATCTGCTGATAATCCAGCTGATCTTGTTTCACGCGGAATACCTATAAGTGCTCTAAAAGAAAATAATTTGTGGTGGCATGGTCCGACCTGGTTAAAGGAAGAAAAATCAACTTGGAATCTTCAACCAAGTTTTGATTTGGATGATATTCCGGAACAAAAAAGTATGTCATGTTTTGCTGTTGTACACAATGAATTTATAAATGATTTAATAAATAAATATTCATCATTAAATAAATTATTAAAAGTACTGACTTTGGTTAAGCGTTTTATAAATAATGTGCAATCAAAGAATGTTTTTAAAAAACATGGACCACTAGAGGTCTATGAATTGGATTTAACGTTGAAATTTCTTATAAAATTTAAACAAATGGAAAGTTTTCCAGATGAATATCGCAAATTAAAGAATAAAAACCAATAAATTCAAAAAGTAAAATTTTGTCCTTAAATCCGTTTCTAAAGAATGATCTTATACGAGTAGGAGGGCGTCTTACCAATTCTAAACAAACATATGATAAGAAATTTCCAATAATATTGCCTAAAAACAATTTAACTGACTTAATTTTACAGAATGAACATGAAAGGCTATTACATTGTGGAGCTCAAAATTTACTTTGTTCAATTAGAGACAAATATTGGCCAATTTGTGGCAGAGATTCAAGTCGAAAAATAGTAAATAAATGTATAACTTGTTTTAAAGCAAAACCAAGAGTTTCAGATTATATTATGGGTGACTTACCTGAATTTGGAGAGTTATTAACTATGCTCCATTCCTAAATGTGGGTGTGGATTATGGAGGTCCTTTCTTGCTGAAAGACCGAAAAGCTAGGGGGGCTAAGTTGTCAAAGGCATACATTTGTCTATTTATATGTATGTCTACGAAAGCGGTGCACTTGGAATTACTCTCTGAATTAACAACAATAGCTTTTTTTGAAGCGTTTCATCGTTTTGTTAATCGTAGAGGAAAACCTCAAAATATTTATTCCGACAATGGCTCTAATTTTGTAGGAGCAAATAATGAACTTTCACAGATTTCCGAGTTTTTAAAGACAAATCAAAAAAACATTCAAACTAAATTTTCCCTTGATCATATGCAGTGGCATTTTATACCTGCAAATTCGCCCAATTTTGGAGGTATTTGGGAGGCAGGTATAAAGTCCACCAAATTTCATTTAAAACGGATTTTAAAAGAGTCCTTAACCTATGAGGATTTTTATACGTTACTTGTAAAGATTTAGGGAATACTAAACTCGCCATCACTATGTCCGTTGAGCGAGGATCCTGATGATATGGATGCGCTAACCCCAGCTCACTTTTTGATCGGAAAGAAAATTACTTCCCTTCCCGAAATAGATTTAAGAGACACCCCTGAAAATCGTCTCAAGAGATGGCAACATATTCAAGCCATTTCACAACATTATTGGACCCGTTGGAGCAAAGAATACCTGTCAGAACTGCAGACTCGAGTAAAGTGGCGAAAGAGTGGAGTCGCTCCAAAGGTAGGAATGTTGGTGCTTATCAAAAATGACAATTCACCAAGTATGGCGTGGCATTTAGGACGAATAACCAAGTGTATTCCAGGAAAGGATGGAATTATAAGAGTGGTCGAATTAAAGACAAAAAATGGACTTATAACTCGTGCCGTAACCAGAATATGTGTGCTGCCTGATCAGAACAATTAAAATTTGTGTTAGATTTTTTTTTAATGTTGGTTAAAATGGCATAATTATGTTTGAATGACTTTAGCTATTCAAGGCGCGCGGCATGTTAAGTCTATAGTTTCTTACTTTAAAACTAGGTCACGCTATCGTGATATATATATAAAAAAAAACATTATCTATGGTTGATGCACCTTATAGTCCACCGTGGCCACGTTATAAAAATGTCGTAACCTAACCACCCGCGGATATCAACTAACGAATATATGGAAACACGCTAAAATATTCTCAATCCGACAAAATGTTTTTATGCTACATAAATAGGGTATTCCCAAAGTAACAACCGCTGCTTCCCCAGAGCTGAGAGTTTAAATTTTAAGGAATTTCTGTGTCGGATTAGTTGTAAAGTATGTTGCATACATTTTAAATAGTTAAAACGTATTCTTGAATACATTTGAAATTAAGGTAAATAAATCTGTTATATTCATTGCGTTCGTTCTGCCAAGTTCCTTTAACTCCTTTAACACTTTTAACTCCAAACGACCCTTTTAGCGTTCGGTTTAGTCCGATTAGTGACAGTTTAACACGCTTAAATGTCATTTAAAAGCACCCTAAAATTTGTCCCGGTCCAGCCCCTGACTATCCGAACTCGCCTACTACATGTTTTAAAGTATATGAGAGAGAAATTGAAAGTCCCTAAAAATCGATAGAAGAGATCGAAAATCGATGTCTAGACTGAAGCATGGAGTGAAGGCCGAACTTTGTAGCATTGTTTCGAGTAAAAATTCCGTATCTACGACCTTCGAGCTAGACCTAATTCGCCTGTTCTGACCGCTGAATTGAGAGCTGCACAACTTTTAGCCCTTCCTTTTTTTTGCAGCCTCTCAACGTCAGCGAATAAGTCACGGGCAATGGGAAATATATTAAACGCCAGGGACGGCCTGCCAGATTATGATTGGAACAACCGAAACAAAAGAATCCAGTATAAAAGTTATAAATAGACATGAAATATATATTTTTATAAAAACAGTATGGGTAGACCCTATAGCATTTACAGCCAAGCCGCCACTGTTTTATGGCTACCAAATAACCAAACGTTCTTTCATTTAAAAGATGTCTGAATGAAATAAAGGATAGTAATATTATTTTTTTAAACAAGCATATATTACAATCACTTAATATACAAATAAATCTTTCTTAAAATTAAAGTAGATATTAGGATTCATGTAATTATAAATATGAAACTAATAAGGTCTTAGCTCTTCACGAAAAGGGTTGTTTTTATCTGAATCATCTTCGTCGTCATTAAATGGATTCTTTGATTCATCATAGTCTTCATCATCGAAAGGATTTTTGACTAAAGACTGATGCGTATTCTTTGGTTGATGCATATTTTTTGTTTCTACATTTCTTGGGGCATAACGGGTCATATTTGCTTCTAAAGATTGGCTATATCTAAAAACCGTTTTAACTTATAAAAATACAATTTATTGCTTTCTTTAAGAATATAAAATTTGTCAGAGCTAAATATACGATTTTTTTTTCAATTTCATTTTTTTTTTTGTATTAAATTTAGATGTAGGTGTAAAGTAGACTAATTATTGTTTAACACAAACCTCTGTTCTTGTATTCTCATTCTTCCCTCTGATACAGGCATTGCTCTTGGATTACTTTTAACTTCAGTCTGCCTTAATCTTGCTTCAGCACCTACACCATACAACAAGAGATCTTTCTCGCTTTTTTTAGATTCCTGTTTAGTGTTATTATTCCGCTCAGGTAATTCCAAAGTTTTTTGAATTGTGTCACTGGTTATAATCTAAAAGATAGAAGTTTTGTTTTCAAATTTGAACAAAGATTTTCATTTAATTACCCACCTTGTACCTATTAAAAACTCCTCTACTTAAATATTCAGCTACCACTGAGAAACCATCATGAGCTTTTTCTAACTGGGAATGAAATGTCTCATGCAAGTCTTTATTGTATTCTCTAGCTTTGAGTAGCTCAATCAGGTTCTTATTTTCAGGCTGACAAGTAGGGCATTCATTTTCATCGTCTGAAAAGCTCTGAAAACAATGTTGGTGAAAACTGTGTTCACACAAAAAGTGGATTTTCGGCAATTCTAGAGTATGATGACAAGCGGCGCACCTAAAATAATAAAATATATCATTTATTTAATGTTTAATATTTCATACAACTTACCTTGATCCTCTGATTTCAATAATCCCTCCTTTGAGTTTTTCGAGCAGCTCTTTGAGCTTATCAGTGTCCTTACGATAATTAGATGTGAGATCAGCGATTTCTTTAGTTTTTTTCTGTTCCTGTTGTAACTCATTCGTTATGTAAGATCTAATGTGACCCAAAGATATATCGGCATTACCGGTACCGATGGCGTCAATGACTAGTTGGGAAGAGAAAAGTTTTTCTTTTGCTATCACAGTTAAAATCTGTAAAGTAATAAAAAAAATAACTCCTAACTTAATTAATAAAAAATTTATTCTGGATATAACTGCAGGTCAGAGCCCATTAAAACATAATATGACAATAATATATGGAGTTATTCACAAAAAAATGTTTCTAAAGTAAAGTTTCGACTTTAGAAACATTTTTTTTTTGGATCACCCTTTAAAATACACAGTCAGTTAATAATAATAAAATTCCAATATTAATAACACATCAATTTAAAAAATATTAAAGGTGGGAAAAAGAAAACAGGTCCTTTATATACTTGTAAACTTGAAAGAACTTGTATAAATAAATAATAAATAAATAAATAAATAAATAAATAAATAAATAAATAAATAAATAAATAAATAAATAAATAAATAAATAAATAAATAAATAAATAAATAAATAAATAAATAAATAAATAAATAAATAAATAAATAAATAAATAAATAAATAAATAAATAAATAAATAAATAAATAAATAAATAAATAAATAAATAAATAAATAAATAAATAAATAAAAATAAATAAATAAAATATAAATATCTCACAAAGAAATGTATATTTGAACGGCGACCGGTTTCGAAGTTTGTTCACTTCATCATCAGACACTAGTGGGTAAGAGAAAAGGGGGAATTGATGAGTTTTAATAAGGATAATTTCCTGACCGTAGCAGAATTTTATATAGATAAAAATTTCCTATGATTATTCGGTCATGTTTCTATTTTAGCACAGCACTACATATGTTTCGGAAACACTTTTTCCATTTTCAGGTGCAGTTAAAATTTAATAAAACTTGGGGACGATTACAAACAGTTTAAAAACATTTTTTTAATTTTTTAAAATAACAGAAACCCCATCTTTCTGTTTCAGCGTGTGAAGGTGTATTCGAAATAATGATTTGGTTTAACACGATATAATAAAGAACAAAAAGATAAGTTTTTACAAAGTTAAAAATTACCTGGCGTTACAGTTTTAAATTGTTAGCAAAAATTAAAAAAATATGGAATATTGATTTAATTTAAGTGAAATTAACAAAACTAATCTACTAACACCACTAATATTTATTTATTCACACTAACAAAAAGTTGTTAATCAAATTAATGTACTAACAGAATAAAAAGCCGAAAATGAGTAAAAGGCGAAAAAGAAAAAATTGAAAAAAATATGTTGGAACAAACCATCAACACCAAAATGGTAAAAGATAAAGAAATGAAATTAGTCATTTTGTTATCTTTTACCATATTATTTTGTGCTATTGTGGAATATTTTTCGGTTCCTTTGTCTCAATTTCGCGCGTTACATGCAATTGTTACACCCTTAACTTGTAATTTTTATACCTACTAAAACTACCGTTGCCCCGCAGGTCTTTCAGTTTGTAATGTAAATTTTCCTCTTAAAGCCATTTTTAGATATTAATAAAAAACATTAAAAAAAAACTGTAACACTCTGTACATCAAAAAGGAAACAACATTATTTTTTTATTTCTCATAAAATCTTGATGATATAAACTAAATGAAGCTGTTTAAAAATTCTGTTGGAGAAATTATGAATTCTATATTTAGTCGATTAGGAGATCTTATAACTCAAGGCTTAAAAGAATGAGAACCATAATTTGCCCTAGATGGTACAGAAAATCAAATTTAAAATAACAAGTATTGACAATGAGCATAAGAATATATTATATTAAATAAAATATTAAGTTCTCTTTGGTTTCGATAACAAAGAGTGTGTAATTCTAGATTTGAATGCAACAATGCGTAAAAATTAGATTTAAATAAAAAATAATTCCTCACAGAGTCATATTCAAGGAACAATAAAGAATCTTTAAACCCATCACATTCTGAAAATCATTAGTAGTTCTTCTAAGGAAACCAAATATTATTATTGCTACTGAAAAGAATGGTTGAAAAGAAAGGGTGGATTCTATTATCACACTCAAATATTTTACCTCTGTATAATAGCAGAGACAACAGAGACGTGTAACTTAATAGGAAAAATTGTTCGGTGGTCCATTTAAATTACATATATGACTTTCTTTCTCTTTTACATTGATCTTTACATATATTTATCTCCCTCCAATAAAACTAACACCAATCTAAGAGTTCGCTGATGTTGCTGGTTTTGACGTCGACGTATCGATTAAAACTGACAACTGACAATGTCATGAATGTTGTTATGAACGTGTGCATTTTATTAAAATTAATTGAATTTAGGCCCCGTTTATTTCTTTGAGTCTGATTTTGTTGTTTAATTAATTTTCTTTGGGGGGGGGGAATGTTTATTTTTGCAAATTATTTTTTGCATCAAGCAATTTCTGGAACCAAACTCGCGTTTTTGTACACATTTCTTTTAAGTAATTTCTAATTTATTAAGAAAACCACTGTATGTGTGTGTTTATATAATAATATATTACAAAATGACTATAATTATTTTAGGTGAATTGGAACAGAGATCCATTGTTACAGCTACTTTTGTTCAGTAAGTAGGTAGATGAATGTCTGGACAGCTTTAATGGCAGCACAAAAGTAAAATGTATGCTGAGTAAAAAATCTACACATGTAGTATAGGCAAAGGACTTTTGAAATGATTAGAGATTGGCTATTTCTTACATACACCTACCTCTAATAGCCACTCTAAAGGAACAAAAAAAAATTGAATCACAAAAGGGACATCAGATTTTAGAGAGAGATCAATCTCAAGAAAAGTTAATTTATCCTGTAGAACAACCAGTAGTTTAAGTAGGATTTGTTATAACTTTATTAGAAGATTTCCTTGATAATAAATTGTAATATAGGTACCAATTGTTTCAAATGAAATTGAAAAAGAGTTAAATACGAAATTAGATTTTTCATGGGTAAAATGTTATATTCAAACATTGTAAGGTAATCTATAATTAAGGGAATATGGAAAATAGGTATACCCTGGTGGTGTAAGAGAGAGGTAAGGGGCAATGACAAAAAAATTACAAAAATGTATTCATCTTTAAATAGTGTTTATTATTAATAATATTATTTTTGCTATGTTTGAAAAGTACCTCCTGCTGCAGAACAGATCGAATAGATTAGACTACTAGTTGGACCTAGTAACCAAATTAGGAGACTAGGAAAACTTGTACATGACTGGGGACACAACAGGAATGCACACACACAAGATACACAAACAAATGAAATAACAGGGGTAAGCCTTCAGCAACGTCCTGTTTAAATGATGATAGTATGTCATCCTTCATTACCTTTTAGAAGGCATGGCATATAAATCTATTGATCTTGATGACCCTAAGAGGAGTTAGCAGGGGGTGTACGGAATGGGTCTAGCAGGTTTCGATCCAGTTTACAGGATGGGAACTTACTCGACTCGGGCCTTATACATTTGTGTTAAGTGTATGTGTGTGTTTGTTTCGTTTCCATGGTTTCTATTAAAATAAACAGTCATAACATATCGATACCTTTTTGCCAGACTAACGTAAGCGACATTTGTTCAAATGGCACTTATGATAGTCTGGCAAAAAGGTATCGATATACTCTATACTTTATCAAATATTTGTTACATTAGTTTTTAATATATTATGAATATATAACAACTGTTACTTTCTTTGTAATTTGTCACAAAATGATACGAGGTACTTTCTAAACGAAGCAATAATTGTAGTTTGTTTTTCTGTACCTTACAAAAATATAATTTATAGAAAAAGAGTTTGGTGTATTATTTTTCTAAGTTTAAATATTTAATAATCAATAGAATTTTGAAGTTTTTTTTTAGCGAAATTTACAAGAGTAATAAAAACTATGTTCACTGCTTATATTAAACTGATTAAAACTTCCTTTATTAAAATGATTATTTATATGATAAAAAATTTTATGTTATTGGAAGCTTTTATATTTTTTTAATATACAGTGAATCAATAATTTTTGTTTCTCCTGTAAATTTGCATAGAAAAACTATTTATTTCTGAATCCATGTTTGAATTTCCCGCCCTAAAGCATTTTTAATTTTCCCGCTATTTACTAGTGGCGCCATCATAGACTGGTTGTGGTTACAATCGCCCAAATAACTTTTACCGAACAAAAAAAAAATACATTGAGTTACACGTCTCGCTGGATTGTCTCTGATAATAGTATCCAGTGTTATGTAATTGCTTTAATATACATTTAATAGGTCCTGGTTTTCTGTTAAAACTGATTGCATAGCATTAAGCTATTAGTACTACACTATTAGACAAAGATATTTAAGTCTTTTTGAAGGGAATTAACATGCATTTATAATTTGAAAGGAAGGAAAAAGAACTGAGAATTCTCAAAACAATTTCGAAAGTCATTGTTATATATATTAAAAAGTAGAGGTCCCAAATTGAATGTTTGTAAAAACTTGATTTAGTTTTAAAATATGCTAATATTTACAGCTATTTTATATTCTGTAGAAAATTCTAAAAATGTACCTCGTTTAATAGATCCATAGAGGGATTGGTAGAATTTCTGACACATGACCATAGAGCCTGGACCCAAAGAGTTGGTTCTTGATGACCGAACCTTCTGCAACATGCTAGTACAGAATTTGAATCATTGTTGCTCATGTGATACCTAAAAATAGAGTAAAATGTACTGTATTAACTGTATACTGCATTTATCTATTGCTTGCAATTCAGAATTGCACACAAAAAATTACCTCATAATTCATACTCTGTCGCAAGTTTTTCAAAACTTTTTAAATCCTTTTGTCAACACTGCAAAATGTGATAATTTTGACAATTGACCATTGCCGAGTGCATCTTTGTTGAGTTTGTTGTAAACATAAATATTCAGTATTGTATTTGATTGTTTTCTATGACTATTGTAAAGGCGGATTCCCATGGCACGTGGTTTGGCGAGCCTGGCTTGTGGATTGGGTCCGTCGAGGCCCAGCTCAGTAATCAAGGCTAGGGAAAGACCAAGCCGCGCCAACCCATTCCTATGGCGCAGAGCTTGGTGGGCTGGGCCCGTGATTCGCTGATCCACGTGCCGTGGGAGTCCGCCTTAAAGAAAATTGATTCAGCCGATTTGGTAGACTCCACAACAATATAATAATTGGCCTTGGAAATTATAAATCTTTCTATATTTTTGCTTGCCTGTTTTATTAATTATTGTAGTGTACCTCTTACTCTTTTATATTGTATTTTTTTATATGTTTACGTTATGTGTACCCAATATTGCGTGTTTTTAATATTAATTTTATTCCTTAACTTTTTAATCTAGATTTATTTATACACTTATATATACATTTTTATGCTTTGTCAATAGAATTAGTTTTGTGTGACAATAAAGTATATTTTGATTGATTGAACACTGAAAGTTGTTACGAAAAAAATGGCCGGCAATGGATTTGCAAACAACATGCTGTAATGTATGAGCCCTTTAAGTGAAGAAAATAAAGGTACATTTACATCTGACATTTATTGCATGAGATTTATGTCTGACAGTTGTTTAGTCCAGTGTAAACACACAAAAATTTCTCTCGGACATATATTTTTGAGTGTTTACACTGGACTAAACAACTGTCAGACATAAATATCATGTAATAAATGTCAGATGTAAACGTACCTTGAATTGCTGTGGCATTGGATCATTTACTTCAAACAAAGCTTGTCTAACAAACTCACTCACCTTAAAATTTGTTGATATAACTTTTGTTCCTCATACAAATACAAAATTCCTTCCTTAAATGAGTTCATATGGCACACCACCAATGCCTGACTTTTATCGTACTTGACATCAGGATTTTGCATCAATTTAAGAATCTTTTGTGATAATTTATTTTTATCAGCTACATTTTCTAAAGTGGACCATACATGCAAATAATGTTCCAATAAAGTATTATAAACTGGCATACTCAAAATACACCCCTCATTCATTAAATATTCTAAAAATTCGACCAATCTTTCAGAATTATTTAAAAATAAGTGGATATAGTCCTCAGGATCGGCTCTTAAGGTAACATCAAATTTTCCTTCCAACAAGTTTTCAGAAATTATGGGAGCATTTAAAGGTTTATAATTTGTACACAATCTTTTTAAGAGTTGTGTACTTTCGTGTGGTGCATGTTCAACTAAAATTGTTCCGTATTTACGCATATAATGTTCAGCCTCATCAAATTTTAAATCTGATATGTATTCAAGAACTTCTGTATATTTTTTGTGATCTTCTATTTGGATTTTTATGTACCAGTCATGTTTCTCGTGTTTTTTCGAAAGCATTAATGCTTCTGCAGGACTACCTTGTCTAAATATAAAAGCAATTAATCAATTTTCACAATTTTAAGAATAAAATAAGTATAAAAAAATACTTTTATTTTGGTTCTATAACTACAGTTGTTGAAATCAAAATGAATTTTTAAGACATCTCATAAAGCTCTTTGGTGAAGATACAAATTGATTTTATAATTTTTAGAAACTCTCTTACCGACAAACTTTGATAGCAACATCAACATCATAACTAAAATCACCATCTTTCGATAATATAAATTCCTTTAAACTGTCTGACTGGCCAATAGAGTTATTTAATTTTGTGTAGCAATTTAAAAGTAGTGTTGTGTGATCTTCAGTAGCGTGGCCTTGTTTGTGTAGAGCTTGCAGGTACATAGTAAGTTTTTCAATATGTTGAGAATCCAGAAATTTTCTAATTACATAGCTTGGTTCTAGTTTTCCAATCGTTTTTATGTATTGTTCAATTGCTCCAGAAAAGTCACCTATAATAATATTTGTTAAAAGTGTCCTAGTAAGGGCTAATATCACACGAAATAAGAATAGATTTAACTAATCAAAAGCAACAACTTGTATAATTTTTTTTTAAATAAAAAATAAAAAGTAAAAATAAAAAGTTTTCAAAAAACAAAGTTAAAAAATGCAAGAAGCAATAAATATTGTAAAGTTACCTTTTAAATAAAAATAAATTTCAATATATCAATAAGCTCCTCAATTCGATCCATGATAAAGATTGATTTATTTTATGTAATGATTAAAATATTTTTTCTTTATGTAATTAAAAATGTAGAATGATAAATTGAAAACAAAAAGTGATAAGTAAATTATGGCAAATGAGAATAATTATTTTGATCCTTACTTTTGTCACATAAATGATCTCCATATTGTTTGAAAATATTAACCAATCCTTCAGAATCGTACTGCTGAGATTTAGCAATACGAATGGCAATATCATAAAGATTTTTTTTAAATAACAGAGACAATTTCGATTGCAAGTCCTTCTCATCTAAATGATACAATTGATTATTATCATCCAATATATACAGAGCACCCCATTCATTAAGAATTGCCTTAATTTTAGGCATAGTAGTTGAAAAGACTATAAACTTGTTGTGAATATCAAGAACGGTTATTAGATTACTTTCAGAGTTGTTAACAGTATTTTCTGTAGGCATTGTTGTTAAGTTAGCAGAACGAGTTGTCTTGGATATAATAATGAGGTATGTTCTGAACCACTCCAACATTACTTTTTCTCCATCTACTGCATAACACGGACCTCTACCATCTGATGTGTAACAATAGACTGCCTTAAAAGAAAATGAAAAGCACATAAAAAGATTAAGAGGATTAATATTTCTTATAGGAAGTAGAGATTTAAAAAACACTTACATCATCTCTACCTATCATGAAATGACTTTCTTGCATAGATTCTGCTAAAACACAACATCTTTTAGCACAGCCTATATTATCCAAGTGATACTACAATATAAAATTCACAATTATTTGACAATTCACCAAACTTCATTCATTTACCTTCTGCTCTTTGTCTTTCTGTGTAACATTATAAACAATAACTGTTGTATCTGTAGCAGCAAATAAAAATATACTTGCTGCTGTGGTTTTGAATGCTAAACCAGTAATTATTGAATTAGAAGCTTTTAATACTTTTTGTTTGGAACTCCTATCTCTAGTAATGTCACCTCTATTAAATAAAAAATAAAAACTAAATTAAAGCAATTTTAAGCGAACTACCAAATTTTCTTGGTATTTACCACAAAATTTCTTGGTTATTGCCTGAATTTATGGAAGGGGTTAGTATACTGACGTCACAAGTGGCAATCACTTAAACGAAGTGGTAATAACTGTGGTTGTAAGGTTGTTTATTTTTAAAGGTCAATTCTATTTAACCTATCTTTTTCGCCGTATTTATTAATAAGCGGTATAGATTTTTATTTAAACTATATTGTTTATTGTCTTGCAAAAAAGAATAAGATCCAAAGAAGAAATTAGTCTCTGAAGTCTTTCCCTTTGCAATTTTTACTCATCCAATAATCTTTTACTATTTTTGAATATGATTTTAATGTTTAAAAAGGGCACAAAATCAGATTTAGTATACCTTATGTGTATAGTACTAGTCGGTACAAAACACTCACTCCAGTTGTAACTGTCAATTACCTATAACCAATAATCAAAAACAGTTCTGGAAGAAAGTAAATACAGCAAAATTTTGGTTATAACTTTGACGAAAAACAGCTGATTTATGACGTCAGAGATATATTACCAAATTAATAATGGAAGTCACTTGAATGTTGTAGTAATTACCAATCTCAAATGGTAAATACCAAATGCTTTTGGTTATTCGCTTTAAATTGACTTTAGTCATTGTATTCCTATATGTTAGTTAAGTTTATTTTACCTGTATATGATTAAAGATCCATCAATAAAACCTACTGCCATCATCTGTAAGTTATCATGAACACATAAAGTACTTGCTTGCACTGGTCTATTTCCAGGTATTGCCCTTGTAATTCTATAGCAATATGGACATCCATTTTTATCTAGCCTACTGGTATCCCAAACTTTGATCAGAGGATTGACACCAGGTTCATCTTGCTACAAGTTTTGACAAGTAAATTATATAAATGTAACATAAACATGTTGATGAAGATATTAAACAAATATTTATTTGGTCACTAAAATTGTTAACTGACATTAATTATTCTCGTAATTATTAAAGGGGTTCATAGTTCAACACTAAAGGTATATGCTTCTTGCCTTTTAAACTTACCCCAATTGTAACTAGTAATGGAGCATTTCTCAGTTGTTGTGTAAAATCAACACTTATTTCATATGCTCTGAAATTAATAATATGCCATGAGCGTGATACTAAGAATATCTGACCAAGAGAATCACTGAGGACAAGGTGGTTGTTACCACTAGATGTTGTAGTCACTTTTGTTTCCTATAAAAAAATCGACGTTAGTAAATGTAAAAAGCTTTGCAATACTTATAAGATACAATTAAAACTAAATATATATATATGAATAATATTACACTTACTTTGAATAATTCACCTATTTTGCCTTCATCTACGTTCCCATTTAAATCGAAGAAATGAAACTTTCGCCACTAAAACACAGTGTTTCAAAAACAGGTTAAGATAAAAAAATGAATTTATGCAGGCAGGCGGCAGGCTGTTTTATTAAACCTAACTTACCTCTAAAAATGCCATATTTTCTTTATAATTTACATCTATTTAAACAATTATTGTTATATTTTTCTCTGATAATCCACTGTAAAAACTGTCAGTGTCAAATTACATACAAATACAAACTCAAACTTCTTCTTTTACATTTATATATAAATATGACTGGATTATTTGGTTAGTTAGAAATTTTCTACTTGTATCTTTTTTTTTAATTTTAATTTTTATTGATTAGAATCATGTGGTCCTTCTTTCATACCTACCTAACCAAGTTTCCCTATTTTTTTTTCTTATACTAGGTTTTACTTGGTTTTACCATCTTTAGTGGACGTCAAAAATCCATATTAATTTTATTAGTTTGAATAGTCAATCAGGTATAATAGATATATTTTATGGGTTCATGGTTCTTTATAATTACAACGCTGTTCCTAAAGTGGTTCTGTGAAACAGTAACAAAGGCTACACCGGCTACATCAGCGATCTGTATTACAGACCAATGGGTTACACCTATGGGTTACACACATATACGACAAGTTGAATTGGACAAAAATGCTAAAGAACCAAGAACAATATTAACTTTATATTTTTAAATTAATTATGAATGCAGATAAGTTATTAAATTATATTTTTGCTTTCTCCAAAAAGTAAACCCAGAATATACTTATTGGTACCTACCTGTAGGTACCTATATATTTCCTATTTCAATTTATTTTTATAATTTTTTAATGGATACCGACCTACGTAAACCAATAATTCAATTATAAATATGTTGTTTATTTAGGGCACGTACTTAATCAATAACTTTATCATATTTTAATTATTTTTTTTTAATTTATAACGGGAAAGCGACCGGCAAATTATGAAAAGGTAATTTCAAAACAGCGTGGAAAGTGGCGCCCTCTACTCTAGCGGGATAGAAACAAACGGGTTGACAACAAATACATTTTTACGACAGAAGTGGTTTTTGTGACGAGAAATCCATGAGAGAAATAAGTATAAATTTAAATCCTTGAGTGGAGTGAGTAAAATCATCATTTTGGTGAATAGGTTTTGAGTGAAATTATGAAGAGACGAAATGCTGAGATCGCTAAAATGAGAAGGCCCATGAAAAAGAACAAAATTACTGAGGGATTTTACGGAAGGTACGTTTCCGTGTTTAGATTGTGACTAACCTGTAGAAAACACGATGTAAACAGTAACATTCTAAACATTTTCATCCCATATGTGGTTCAAAATGGCTGGTTTCCCTAAACAAATGCAGATTTTTTTACAAATTTCTTTATATTTAAACTTTGCATTGCAATTCCACTGTATGACAACTTATTTCATGAAGTGCATCATTTATATATAATTATTACGAAATACAATTAACCTCCTAGGTTAGAATTACAGCTGTCAAAACAATTTATTTTTAACTTTTATTTCTGTTACACTATTAAATAGCACGTTTTTCTGTAAAATATCTCTCATACATTCGGAACTAATAGGCTTTTACCTTTCGGAATAACATTACCTATAATTAAATAAAATATGACTATTTGAAATGAACCCTGTATCAACAAGGAATTGTGTTAGATAAATGTTACATGATTCTTTTTAAATTGCACTGCATATTTCTAGTGCTTTAGCCGCATTGTAGTTCAATAATTCAAAAGAAACAGATTCTGAATACAAACAATATACCAATTATCAAACTACTAGTACTATAATAAAGATCAATTCATAACTACAATTAATTTTTTAAGAGGTATACCAGTATTATGTCCTAAAATTTACCATGTCAGTTTCATAGTAATTACCAATAACTCTTTAGTATTATAAAATTAACAAGTTATAAAAAGTAACTTGAGTAAGTGGATGCTGTCTAAAGAAGTAGCACAAATACTTCAGATGTTTATTAGGTACAGAAATTGACCAAATTTATTTGATAATAGAAACAAATATTTTATATAAATCATCTAAGTATTTGCACTATAATTGGTCTTAATACAATTTGTTTTAGATTAGCTTTATCCAAATGACCCAAAACTATATAAAATAACTTTGGAGTATTATTCAAACTATGCTACCAATTTATACAATAATTAAAATAAATAGGAGAAATCAAGTGACTGTAAAAACTACCTTCATTTAATTGCCAAAGTCTGGATTACAGAGTTATTAGAAAGGAAGAAATATTTATAATACTTAAAAACAAATGACATAATTTAGCTACCTTTAAAAAAGAGTAAAAATCTCTCATCAAATATGTATTAGGTATGGTTTTTACTGCCAAAACCATGATTGCTTTAAATTAATAAATTGGTTATTACCAATGCATTGAAATATTGAGAATTTCTGATGATATGCTGACTGTAATTTTAATTTAAGACCTAAAGAATAATTTATACTTATGGGGAATTCTCTTCAATTTGTTTTATTTCAGAAATTGATAGATATTTACATATAAACATAGGTTTCATTCATAAAATTTTTAATTCATTCCTAATTTCAAAAAAAAAAATCAAAGTTTAAAGCTTTATGTTGGTTATTTGCTCTTTGGCAATGTTGCCTAGTAATTGACGACATTTGTGTATGGTCTAATGCCATTATCTTAAATTATGTAATTTCTAGACATTTCTATTGGTTTATGACTTGTATTGTAGTGATTATAACTGGTTATTGAATTATAATCATTAAATGATAATAATGCAAAAAGGGGTTGGGTTGGCTCAGTGGTTAGAATCAAGACTTTGAAATTTAAGGGTTTCAGGTTCGAATCATGCCAGTTACAGGTTTGTATTTAATTTAATAAATAAAATATTAATTCTAATGCATAGGTAGGATTCCTCACTTGACCATTCACCATTGACTTCTAATTAACTGTTCCTAAAGTTACACTGGGAAGCAATACCAAAGTCTATACAGAACACGAGGCTAATAACAGTTGATGACAATGACAAAAAAATGCAAAAAGGTCTAATTTCAAAACCTAATGAGGTTAGGTACTTTGTTATGATTTGATATAATGAATGATTACTTGTTTGTTTATTATAATATCGCTTAAAGTGATTATAAAAAGCATATTCAGTAATAGTACCTAATCCAGGTAATTGTTATAGTTTATGGCACTAATCTAATTATGGCTTATACAGGAATATAATAATGCTTTATTTACTAAACTAAATTACAGTGAGGCCCTTCAGGTTACCGCTCTCAGTGGGGTAACTACCCCTTTCATTTTTTTTTTTAAATAAAATGTGTGGGAATGTGACTCATTATTTTAAAGGGTTTTTAATTCTCTATTCAATACCTAGTAGGTTTTAATTTTTGGACATTCCTTTAAAAAAAAAACAAATTTGAAAATGAATTTTAATATCTTCACAAATTTAAATGAAAATAATTTGTATCATGTGCTCAAATTGGGTACCGTTCATTTCTTGACAATAAAAAAGACATTGTAATTCTTGTAAAACATGTAACATTTCTGGGGTGATTTGTTTAATTTAATGACTTATTCTGTTTATTCTGTTGGTTGATCTGTTGAAGTAGTCCTTTGATAAAAAAATAGTCCAGTGGGGTTATATCTGGAGAACGAGGAGCCCATTAAATTTCACCACCTCGACAAATCCATCTACTTGGAAAAAATTGATTAAAATAGGCTCTTACTGCTGCTGCATAATCTGGTGTAGCTTCATCTTGCTGATACATCGGTACATTTCTATTTATTTTGTTGGGGTCAATATTATCAAGACAAAGTCTTTTTAACTCTGGTGCTAAAAAAAATTGTAAGAAATCTAAATAGTGCTACCCAGTCAATGTGTCATCAAAGAAATATGGCCCAACAATTCGATCATTTAATATTCCGACCCAAACGTTTAATTTAATAGGATATTAAGTGTGGCCTTCAACCATCCAAAATAACGACAATTCCATATAAAGTAAAAGTTGTCTCACCAGAAAAAATACTTTTTGAAAATACCAAAATACCAAATTTTGTTGGCATCTATTTATCATGGTTTCGCAAAATTCCAATCGACGGTAATGATCATCCTCATTTAGTTCCTGCATCAATTGAATTTTATATGGGTGGTATTTTTCTTTTTTCAAAACACTCAAAACAGATGGTCACAGTCAGCTGCAACATGAGTGGTAGGTTTATGTGGATTATCATCAATGTTTAATAAAATTGTACAATTTAATTTCATCTTTGTTCTACCACTTTTATGAGGATCTTTAACTGTACCATACTGGTGGAATTTTTTTTCTACTCTACTCTCTGTATACTGCGAAATATGACTCAGGATATTTATTATTAAAGAAAATATTAAAATTAATGTAATAAATTTGTGAAACAATGATAAATATCTAAAATTTATTCAAGTCAACATATCATATTAAAAAAACTGTTCCTTCTTACTTAGGTACACCGTAAAAATCTAATATACTTTTTTATTTGACCATGGGGGTAGATGGCTTGTTTTCTATGGGAGGGTACTTAACACTGTACATTGTTATGCAAATCTTAGTATGCTCTGAAGTATTTTTGTTTAAAGTTGTTAAAAATATTAAAATGGATTTAGCATTTTAAAACCTTTTTTTTATATGGAATATCTAAAAATTAAAACTCACTAGGTTGCTGAGTAGAGAATTAAAACTCTTTAAAATGAGGTATCACATGCCCCCTCGTTTCATTTAAAAAAGGAGAGGGGTATCTTGTCTCTTTAATTCATTAATAAGGTCGCGATTGAATTTAACCGTCGCTTTAGTACCTCACTGTACAATAATTAAAACACCTTTTCTTAAAGGATAGTCACCAGTATATTTTATTTTTTGCTGCTGCCTTATGAGAAAAAATATGCGACGTAAATGTACTTTGTACCAAATTGTTTAACTTGAATAGATACTTCTCCAAACAAAACATTTATATTTGTGCCCATGGACTTGAATATGCGAAAATTGTGGTTTCAGGCTGTAGGACTTTGTAAAAGGTATAAAATACTGTGAAGATCACTTCAATGTGTACCTATATCACTACATTAAACACTACTTTTTTTATAAAGTAATATAATTTGTAATTATAAATATGATGATACATTTATTTATTTACCTATATAATTTATAAATTTATTATACATTAATAAACCGCTGTAAAAACACTAAAAATCTTGATAAAAATATATAAACACAAAAGAGGTTAGAATAAAACCAAACACAACTGACAACCGATATAATAAATATTATGTCGGACCTCGTAAGTTTTTTTTACCAGAGGGGCTTACAAGAGGGCTTGAAAACCATCCAATTTCGGAAAAACTCATTGATTTTTTTAAATATTGCTAAACTAATTTAATGACAACTAAGTAAGATATTATTTTGCTACTTTATGACAAAATTGTTATTTTATTAAATGGCTTAAGAGTAAAGTATTACCGTATTTTCGTAAATTTTTATTTAGGCCGACGATTTGTGATATTAATCCTCACTATTCTGAAATCACTCTAATTTCTCTAACATGAGAGAAAAGGATGGAAGCGATTTTCCGAGTGCAAAACTTGAACGGAACGGATGAATTCCTCAGAAACAACCTTACACTGTTGCAAAATGTCTATGTAGAAACGTAGCCTTTTAAACTTTAAATACCTGACTTTATTTTCCAATTTTAACTACCTAGAAAAAAATGTATATTTTAGATATTTTATTTATATATTTTCTTTTCAGAAGAGAATTCCTCTTTACTGACAAACTTATTTTCTATATCTGTATCTTTTATATTTTACTTCTGTCTTTAAATTGAGCTTAACTGTAAGTAAGTACTTACACCTACTAACTGGAACAAATAAAATTGAATATTTTCAAAAATTTCATGAACTTTACAATTATTAACATTTAACCAGTCCATTTAAACAATAACTAAATATACCTACAAAGACATTAAAATTTATTACTGATTGTTTAGTGCAGCCCTTAAATTACAATCTTCCTGATCATTTTAAATATTAAGAAAATTACTTTCATTGGTACCAATTGATAAAAAATAAATTTATATCCAAAGGTTTGATTTTAAAGATTGATATTTTTTTAAATGAAAATTCACGTATTTTGTATGCATTTCTGAAGGATCAGATCAAATTTAACAATATAAGCTGAAGGTAAAGATAAA